ATTTATTTTGGTCCGAATTAAATGATTGGCTGGCCTACCTGCCCACCTACTCTGACCGCGCACTCACTGCTGCATGAAAATGTGTTTTGGGGGAGTGGCTTCGGAGGGAGGCCTGGAGGCATCTTTTCAGCGGGATACTTTCACAATCTAGCTGCCTCTTCCTAGTTCTCTCTGATGTTGCCTACCCTAGCTCTAACTTCCAAAATGTTGACTTTAAAATAAATAAATAAATGCTTTTGAAGAACTTTCCAGTAAGTTTCCTCTTGCACACATTTTCCAAAGCGAATAAATTGAATTTTTGAATTAAACAGTTCAGGTTCGTTCTGGCCTACCAGGCAATTGGCCTCTCCAAGTTTCTGTTTTCACAGTAAGTTTTCATTTAGCAACAATAAAAGCTGCGGAGAATTCAACTGAGGTTAAGCTTTATCGTCCACATTTTATAAAAGGAAACTGCAGCCCCAATAACCAGTATACATTGCTTTGGGCCCAGATGTAGAGACTGACTGAAGGTTTTATAACATTTTCACCTCGTTCACTCTGGGATTTCATTCCCAAAAGCAATGCAAAAAGGCTCCTTTGATATTTTTTATTGGTATGTTTACATACCATTACCAGAACAGTAGAAAGCAAAAGGATTTCCTGCAAAGACTGGGAAAGGCAGGATGTGTCGACAAATGTCTCTGCATGTTTTTAAATGCATTCACTGTAAATCTCAACTCATGAACTTCCTGACCTCCACTATGACAGCGGTAATGGGCTGGTATCAACCAACAGCAATCAATACGGTCCTCTATAAAAGCCTGCTATGCATTTAAAACCCCACGGCTCTTTCAAGCTCGACATATGGGCGCTTATTGACTAAATGGATCTTGTTGCCCCTGGCCTTGCTCAGCTGTCGATCAAACCCGACCACTTAATTGATGGGCTGCTTCAGCGGTGAGCCGCCACGGTGCACAACAGCAGACATGGGGAGGAGTGCTTAAAGGCCATTTCAGACTCGCTATGTTTTACAGTAACTCTGATGCAACAAGCCAGAGCTGGCCATGCTGAAGCCTGGCTGGCCAAGCTTGTCGTGTTAAATGAAATTACAGGGTGTTAATGTGCACAAACTATTTATGCAGAGGAAACATCATGTGGCAGCTCACCGCGCGAGCCTGGATTAGAGCTCTAAATGAGCACAAGTGGACAGTTGAACAGATATGGTGGACGGGGAAGCCCACAACTCTAGATTTTATGGCTTCCTCTTGTAACGACAGCATCCGCACCTTGCACTCTCTCCTCTCTGACTTTGTTAGCACACAGCCTCTGCTGTGCCACCAGCGGCTGACCCTCGAGACAGTAATTACTGCCTAATTAGGGAGATGAGCAGAGCTAAAGCGCAGCTTAACGTTTAATCGGCCAGCTCGATGAGCCACTGTGAGATCCAGATCTCACCGGCCAGAGCGGCCAAACAACACTCCAGAGCCACGGGCTGTCTGACAGAGGGAGTCTGATGCACACCGTGAGGGACAGTTCATGCAAAACACACACAATGTTCCTCATATCATTTCAGATGTAAGAATTTTGGTGCGATTTGCTGAGGTCTGGATATTGGTTAAATCTGTATTTGTTTTGTGGTGCTCAAAGTGACAAAAATGACATCACGACCTAACGGGAAACAGATTTATAGTGAAAGGAAATCTGTTCACATTGAGGCCTGTGGATTAGCATGAATAATCATATCACTATATCTGCAAACAGATGTTGTTTCCTCTCTGCGTTTCAAATGCAACCTTTGGAGCTTTGAACACAGAATACTAAATTCTACTGAGACTTACTGTACTACCGTGATTACAACAAACCCATCTGAACAGACAGACTGTGCTGAGGCTGCAACTAAAAAAACTTTCATTTTGGTTCTATCTGATCATTTATTCATGTTATTAAGGTGACATCTATAAATGTGTCATTTTGTTTGACCAGCTGTTCAAAAGCTCAACTTTGTTCCATTTATTATCATGTATGACAGAAAAAAGCAGAATTTGAGAGGCTGCAAACAGATCATGTTGGTAAATAACTGATAATCAAAATAGTTGATTCATTATCTTTCAATCGATTAATCAGTTGTTTCACCACTAAATCAGAGACAAACCTGTCAGACTTCAGCTTTTTGGCCGTGTTTTTTGAAGAACTTCTGCAGTAGGCAGTGTTTCGCTCACTGGCTCCGAAGTTTAACTCTGCCATATTGTTTTATTGAGGTCAATAACAATTCCTGAGGTGGTGCCCGAGCTGTGGGACAGTTTTCCTGGCAAACGACGATTGTGGGCTGGACCTCCGCCCGTTTCGTTGAGGTTAAGCGTTAACACACTCCACTGACTCCTAATAGTTGAGCAAATAGCTGCCCTCAAGCCTGATACTGTGCTTGCTGCCCAAAAGGGTCTTACTGGACTCAGCTAAATAAATAACTGGGATCCTAATATCGCCCTGCATGGCAGCTGGCTCGTGTTTGTGTAATTATCGCCGGCTCGAGGGGAGGCTGTATGTGATACCGGACGGTTCCTGGGCTGCTTTAGGCGCGTTTCCCAGGCCCCGAAGCACAACAGAAAGGAGGAAGCTGCACTACATAGCACCATGGACATGCACAGTATTGTGCTTCTGCTGTAACGCATGCTCTCTAGCCTGCAAGCTGAGGAAACTCTTGCTGTGCAAACTCAAACCCAATTATTCTAAAAACGTCAACCACAACCTTTGATTCCACCTCCAGCCGAGGCGTGCTGCTGAGAACTTCACCGCCCTGTAGCAACTGACAGGGCCTCACATGAGCAGCTACACAGGTATCAAATTGAGGGAGTGGTCTTCTGGAAAGTATGTGACACAGACAGTGCAGCATCTCTTGGCTCTGCGCCCCTCAGCTTCGCCCTGTTCTCAGTCTGCAGGCTGTGAATTTCTCTGTCTCCCCACTGGGACAAGTGGGGGAACGAATACTTGACAGTACTGTACCGAGAGTGGTGGAGCAGTGACAGTATGTGTAGAGGAGGCTGGAAAGATATGACGTGTGTGTGTGTGTGTGTGTGTGTGTGTGTGTGTAGGGAGGGGGGTGCGGAGGTTCAATCAACATACAGACACCGAAGACTTGAAACTGTGTATGAGCTGCACATACCAGAGGAGGGTTATTACAGGCAGGAATCCCGACAGTGTGTGTTTGTGTGTGTGTGTGAGCACGCATTTAAGCTATTTTCACACATGCAGGTTGAGGCAGCATGCAGCCGTGACCCTGCCACTCACCCTCTTATAAAACACTCCCTGCACACCCCTGGATCATCTGTGTGTGTGTGTCCCGTTTTTTTTTGGAATGAGCAGAAACTGTGTACAACACATACCACAAGAAAATGCCTGCCAGAGTGCAAGTTTACATAGCAGCCGGCTGCAGCCCTTTGTCATTGTCAGCACGGGTGATTTACAGGAGAAACCCAACACTTGGAGAAACAAAAGAGGACGGCGATAAGCCGTCAGTGCGTCGGACCTGTCATTTTAAAGACAACTCATAGCAGCGACGGCATGATGATGCTGGAGCCGGCTGCTTGTTTAGGTTACCTCGGAAGGCCCGAGCGCACTCCCCTGCTCAGCTGCTGCCCATCAAATCCAGGGTTTCCTTCCCACATAAGAAACTGCAGATTAGATTATTTGCATCTCTGCTCCAACATCTGTCTATTCACTTCTTGTACAAAAGTCTTCAAACACTTAGGGGGAAAGTGGGCTGCACGCACACAAACACACACAAATCCCAGCTGTGTTGAAGTGACAGGGAGAGAGCCACAATGCTGACACCAATTTCAAATCTTGCAGGGTTTCAACTACATTCCCCCACTGCACTGACTGGCCGCCTGCGACTTTTTAGAGCCAGCCAAATCTGTCTGCAAGCCTTAAAACAACTTGCTCTCTGGTCTGTTCAGGCGTTTTTACTTCCTCGTCACTAATCAGCTGCTTTGTGCAACAGAGCAAGAGGGTCAATGTGTAAGAAACTCCTTGAACTCGTACCTTTGTTTGCCAAGATTATGTCACACGTCCCTTGTGGACTGTCTAGTCTCCACGGGGTGGGGGGGGGTGTAAAGCTGAACAGGTGATTTGAAGTTGCCCTGCTCACCACCACTGCTGCTCCGACAGCTGTGTTGACACAGCGGCTGATAGACGCCATTTGAGAAAAATTTAAATGGGTAATTTTGTTTGATGGTGGGGATTCGATAGTCGAGGCTTTTTTTTTGCACAAGGAGGCAGCATAAAGTAAAAACCACTGCAGGAGAAGCTACTCGGTCAGCCAGGAAGTGTGAATGAACGGTCAGGCGCAAAAAGCCCTCTGACAACTTTTGGGGGCCATTTCTCTCTGGTTTCTTCTGGGAGCAACGCCTGATGTAATATTGCAGCGTCAGCAGAAAAGAGCAGAACAGGCAAAGTAAACAAGAGGGCAGGGTGTGTTTGAGCAGTTTGGGAAAGAGAGGCGAAAGGCTTGTGCACAGCTGAAGCCCACACAGAGGAGGAAAAAAAACATCAAAAACAAAGTCTCAAGCACAACTGGGGAACAAACATCTTGACATGACACCAGTATGATAAGGACTGATGGGTGGGGAGGGGAGGGTAAACTCCACAGTGCAGCTTTAAAGGGAACACACGCACTCCCTTCAGAGGCAGTGTGTAAACAACTATAAACTGTATTAAAAGTGTAAAAATGAACATCAGACAGCTTAGAAACACCACAAATGGGCAAGGGAGTACGCCCACGCCACACAGACCCTAACTATGTAAACTTGGCCTGGCGTGCTGTAATGGTTTTTAAATCATCCCTTCATATTTATCCAAAACACTGGAGGAAAACGTGCCCCGATCTGCAGTGCGCCTCTGCTGCTCTGCAGGCATTGCCACGTTTCTCCTCCCGTGCAAGAAGCCTCATACAGTATTGAGTGTGTGCATGCATGCGTGAGAAAGCGTGCACGTGCGGAGCCCGTCTCCGCGCGACTCTCGCTTACTTCTGCACTGAAGGTCCACCATGGCCTGGTACCACTCGTCCTGGTCCGCCTCGTTCTCCGCGGCGACGGCGAAACTCTCGGCCCGCGTGTACAGCACGATCATGTGCTTGTTCTTGGAGTCGGCCCGCTTGTTGATGTTGAAGCACGTCTCCAGCGCTACGGCTTTCTTCGGGACGGGGGCCTTGCCGCGGAATTTCTTCTCGTTCTCGTAGTACTCCAGGCGGGCCGGGCCGCGCTCCGAGGCGGCGCGGAGCACGAAGTACCGCCGGTGCATGGACTTCTGCTTGCGGAGATAGCCGCTCTTCCGCACGTCCTCGCAGCTCTGGTGCTCGCCCGCTTGGCTCTCCATGACACCCCGATATCTCCCTTATCCCCCACACACAAACAAACGCGACCTCTTTTTTTAGTTCCCTAGCTGTATTTATGCAAGTTTAGAGAGGTAATTCAAACATCCCCCGGCTCCTCTCCCCTCCCTCTTCCCCACATCAACGCAGGCATGTGAGAGGGGAGGCAGAGGGGTCGCTGCCAAGTGTCCCGGAGATTAAACCTGGACCAGGGGTTGTTTGCAGCTACAGCTTCGGTTAGTTTGCCTCTTCTTTTGGTTGTTCTTCTCTGTGACGGACGGGCCGGCGCAAGTTTTCCACACGGGCGAGCACATGCGGCGCAGCTCAGCGCGGAGCTCCCCCTACTCTCCACTTACTAAGCTACTACTACAGCTGCTCGTGTTCCCAAGCGCTGTCTGAGCGGTTTAATCCCATTTACTGCACACCACAGTGACCAGGGCCCATCCCGCTGCCCGTCTCTCGGTCTGTCTGTCTCCCTGCCCTGCTCGGCGCCGGTCTTGTAGTGGTGTTGTTGGGAGGAGAGGAGCGGAGCAGCTACCGTGAAGCGGGACTGTCACTCACCGCTGTACTAGTACGGTGCGTTTACGGACCCAGTCGAAGGTCGGACAGCAGAAAGCTCGACAGTGTCTTCGAGTATTCCAGTGCGTTTAATGATAGATAGAGATAGATTATTTTCCACATGGGAAATAAAAACAGCCCCAAACAAGAAAATATAATAATAAAAATATATAAATAGCTAAAATCTAAATGAACTAAAACTAAAAAAAAACATAATCATGATGGCGCCTGGTACTCTAGCAACGTGTTTAGTTTGAATTGTGCTAGGAATAACTAGCCTACACATTGAATCTATACAAATACAGAGTTATGTGTGTGATGTGAATGTCACTTATGTATGTCAGGAGTTTGGACTAGTGAAGAGAAATTGTCTTAAAAGTTTGGTAACTTTCTTTGGTGCTGCTTTATTCTAACTACTAAAATAAGATACTCTTACATAGACATTTGTAAGTGACTTTTAAATTGTATCAGTGTTTTCTTTATTAAAATAATACTGTGAACAACCATATTTATATTAAAATCACATTATTATAGTGATACTTAGTCAGCACATTAATTTGGAACTGTGAACAGACAGTTTTACTGGAACTACTTAGGAGGTGTCCATTATCAGGAACTAATGGACACCCTGCAGCCAATCAGAATCAAGTTTTTACCCAAACAATGGTATAATAATAGGTAATAATGCAGGACCTGTCTTACTTAAGTGGCGTACATTTCCTAAAAAGTTTGTAATTAATCAAAGTACATACAATCAATTGATACACGACAAACCTTTTAGTATTCAGTTTTGTTCTAACTGCAGTAACACACAGTCAACTTCACTCACTAACTCCAGTGGACTTTTAAGCTAACATTATATTTAAAAAAAACTAAAAACTGAACCATCTATGAATGATCATTATTACGTACAATGAATACTAAACAGTACTGTTCAGTGATATTTGCTCCCTGTATCCCAAAGCAGTATTTAGTAAAGCTACACTACTGGACTATTGTTCAATGTGTATATTTTCACAAGTGATGTAGGCCTATATGGTCTAATATACTGGCAGTTAATGTAAGATAATGTAGCTTTTGCATTTAACTTCTTAATTTTATTTCAAATTGTTATTTTTCTATTTATATTATAGTTTGATGTGAATATTGTCATTTGCAATATTGCATTTTAAACGCATCTTAGGGGGTTTATGTGAGGTTCATTAATCTATCAATAAATATTGTCAATATTTCCTACAGCAAGTGAAGGCAGCATCACTTCCAATGTGTGTGTGGAGTAATATTTCAGTGTTGGCGCTTCACTGACTCCATCCTGTTCTATTTATTGTAGAAATCCCCCTCTGTCCCGCTTTCATGTGTTCACTTTTAAAGCAGCAAATATTTGCTACATCAAATGCAATACATCAGAGTGCATACAAATATTCAAAATCTAGCTCCATGGTGGGTCCTTTTTATTGTGACCATTGATTCCTAAATGCGGTCCAAACAGCAGATTAGGCTGCTGTAATTTAATAAATGAGACGTTGTTTCTGCCACTCAGACTGAGTATCTCTCACTGGTGCATGGCCGTAATAAATCCCACCAAATAATGCATGTAATAATAATGCATGTTTTAAATTTGGATGTACTCTGAATTTAAATGAATCTACATTTTTAAAAGGGTCTAATACTAGCCGTCCTGAAAGCTTCAAAAAGGGGTCCTATCTTTGTACATCATGCTTGTGCACCATCTATGTTGTTATGTAATATGCATCCATAAGTAACCTTGTGCACGAGGTCAGACAAAAGTGAATATCACGCGCCGCCTGCTGTTTGAAGAAGTCATTGCAGCCTTTTAAAAACACTCATCAGGAACTAAGAATATTATATCACATTTACATATAAATGAACACCCAGAGCCAAACTGTCTTAAGAAGCAACCAACTGATTTTATGAACATGAATGCTTTTCATTACAAAGAGGTTGTTACATGAATCTCTCTTCTTTTTTTGTCCTTTTGGCAAAAATAAAAAGGGAAATAAACTTTGCCTGTGTGTGAACCAAAAGAACAAACAGAAAAACGAGCGAGAAACATTTTGGTCCGGTACATGAAGCGATGGTGTTTGTTTTTTTGTTTTTTTAATATACTTTTACGTTAAGTTATTCTGAAATTGCTTTTACATTCAGTAGCATCTCCTTTTAGCCCTCTAAGCGCATGCAGCCTTGGAGTGGAAACAACATGAGATTACCCTTCAAAATTAAACCTGACACACACACAAACAAAAAATAAAAATGTGACTAATGCAAACATGTTCCACGCATCCACTGAAGAGGAAAGCCTGTCTTATCACATGCATCAGGAGGCCGTTATAACCACCTGTAGGGACTCGAGATGCAGAGGCTCAACTGGCTTTTCCTTTGGACAACCGAGAGACGTATACGCTGATGTAAATACTGACGGGCTGGGTCTTTTTTGCACTTTTAAGCAGGAGATGAAAGCAAAGTAGCAGCAGCAGCGACATGTGTGCATCATATATATATATATATATATATATATATATATATATATATATATGTGTATGTATGTATATATGTGTGTGTGTGTGTGTGTGTGTGTGTGTGTGTGTGTGTGTGTGTGTGTTTCTAAAAATCATAGAGGCGTCATTTGCTCGTGACTCCCACAGAGCCCTGAGGTGGCGTCTACTGGCACACAAACACCTTTTTTTGACATGTTCACAGCGGGGGGGGAATCACTCTCATACATACGTACATGAATTTCATAATTACATTCACACATTCCCCCCCTCCTCCTCCACAAACACGTAAACACAGACAGAGAGGGAGGGGAGAGAGAGAGAGAGAGAGAGAGAGGAGGAGAAGAAGGGAGGGGGTCAGACCCTCCCTTTAGAGGGTGAAAATACTCCAAAGGCATTGAAATGGCAGTGACTCCTCAAGTTCACTTCTCCCTCGGTTCCCAGAGATGAAAGTTGGGGGTGGGGGTGGGGGGGGCGCTAATGTAGGGAGAGAGGAGGGAGGGTCAGATGAAAGGATTTCGCGAAGTCCCTCCACTGGGGTAAACATTCCCCTGAAAGACAAGAGAGGCAGGGTGAGAATGAGCAGAGAGGACTTTACTACACTTCCTGTAGTTTGCAGAAAAAGAGAGCATGCGCAAAATACCAAATAGACCCCCCCCCCCCCCACACACACACACACACACACACACACTTCCCCATGAAGTGCACCTGATGCCACTTGTTCGTAAGTTTGCACTCACCGTAAACGGGTTTACCGACATCGGCCGAGGGACTTTGGGCTGAGAGTCAGGTGCAGGGAAGGAGGCAAAACCTGAAACACACACACACACACACACACACACACACACACGACCCTGTTCAAGTGGTGTGAAGACGGCATTGAAACCAGAAACCGCAGATGAGAACATGAGCCACAGCAGCGACTCTACCTTCAGTGTGTGATGGTATTCCTGGGCTGCTGATGCTGGTGGTCACTGTTCAGATAATGAAACATGTGCGGTGTGTGCTGGGGCCTTACCGCCTCTCAGTTTTTAGTCTGCAGCCAACGCACATACAGCATCAGTACTTGTCACACTGGCAGCCACAGCCACACTGTGTGTGCATGTTTTCTTTTTGTCCTCGTGTTTGATGTTAAATATATGGATGAGATGGTGTAAGGCTGACCAACAGAGATAAAATGTTATAGTGTATAATATAATATATTAGAGTATAAGGAAAGATGGTTTGTTGATGTATGGTAGGAATCTAAATGAGTGTAGAACCTTATTTAAAGAAAAATTTAACCCAAAATTAAAAGATCTTTTAGCTATAGAAAGCAGGTTTAATGTTCTCCCTGAAGAGGAAATGCTTAGTTTTATTGCTCATTATAGCTCTTTATCACAGAAGACATTTTGGCATGTCACAGCAGGAAAAGCACAGGTGTAAATAATAAAATGAACAATGGCTTGATTCCATTTAGCTGCTTCAGAAACAGAAACTCAAAATTTAAACCAAATACTACACAATCCCAGAACATCAAATATTGGACTTCAAATAAAAAATAATTTTAAAAAATGTTACCATTGGCTTCCTGGTTGCTGGCGGACTCATGAGGAAATGCATTCTGGGTGGTGGGCGCTTGGAAAGAGGCGGACGGAGGAAAAACGGAGGTCGGCGAGGTGACAAACGCGCTGGAGTCACCTGGAGAAAAGGTACACCCACACACAGTGAGATCAGACACAGCTAAGTGGTCCATGTGAAAAAAGATTGTTAGCTACCTCTGAAGTTAAACAAACCAGGGAATTGTTTTCCTGTACGCGACCTGAGCTGAAAATCAGCTACCTGATTGCTCAAATGTAAAATGAATGCATCAATAAAGAAATAAATAAACGTAACAGAGAGAGTTTTTAGTCATTGAACAGCATGTCAGCGGAACATGAAACAAAAAGCCTACAATTCAACCTAAATGAAGAATAAAGCTTCCAATAACAATAAATACTTAATGTTTGCTTGTTTTTCCAATGGAGCAGAAATTATTACAAAATTACAAACTCGCTAAATAAAACCTGACCTTATTTTTTCACCTGAGTTTCTTTTTAGGTGTTTGTATTAGTATTGTGTTTTATTCACCTTCACAGCATTAAGGACGTCCCTCTTTCTGACTTCTTTGGAAAGTAGCCATTGTGTGCATGATTTATTCACTTGTTTTGTTTATTTGTTTTTTTTTAACCAAAAAGTAATACATAATTGCTCACAAATCAATAATCATAGTAAAAACTTAGTGTAAAAGGAGATTAGGGCAGCACCTAACAATTATTTTAATAATCAATTAATCTATCCATTATTTTGTTTGGTCCGTGAAAAGTCTTTGTCAGACCAACAGTCCACGACATATTCAATTTAAAATAATATAAAACACACAAAAACTGTATATCACATGTGAAAAGCAGAAACCAGCAAGTATTTGCTTGATTAAGCAACGGAAATCATTAATCTAATATTCAAATTCAACAACTGATTAATTGGTTAGGCAACTAATTGATTCGATTCTTCTTTCCCTTTAACAAACAGGTAATAAAAAGCTAAATCTTGCTGTAAGATCTTAAGACTTTTTCTGGGTGGAATAATTTATATAATCTATATAAGAATATTATAATTTTTTTTTACATACAGGATCAGTATTATGTTACCTTCAAAGTAATCCAAGAAACACAAAATACTTTCGCTAAAACAAAACCACAACTTTTGATGTTAAAGTCATCATATTTAAAGGTATAACAAGGTTAGTCCTAAAGAAAACACACGTAGTGACATTTTCCCCATCTCAAAAGGAAGTAGCAGAGTCTGAAGGACCCCGACAATGAGTCTCACCTCCTGATGCGTTGCTGAAGGGGTTACTGGGGGAGAGGGCAACGGGCTGCTGGGAAGCAGAGCTGGAGCCGGAGCTGAATGGGTTGGGGAAATCTGAGACACACGGGGAGAGAGGGGGAGAACCAACACACAAGCGTCCTAGTTAGACGGCTTTAAAGATGAAGGAGCTGAATGTAAATACAGAGCATGTTGGCAGGAGCGATCAATGCAGTTCGTGCTGGGTACCTACTTGCAAAGGTTTGGGAGCTGGAGACTGTATCGACACCGGGGGAACTGGGGGGGAAAGTAGAAAAACAGCAGATCAATATAGGATACGACCTTTAAAGGGCTCCACGCGCAGGACATTTTAATACCTGACATGTTAAACAAAAGCTGATTTGACAAGTCTGTTTTTTTCCCCTCTACCTGGCAGGAGTAGAGCTGGAAGAGAGCCTGCTGCCAAAGATGGTGCTGTACTGCGGAGGACCAGCAGGTGGAGCTGCAAGCAAGCATTTCACACAGACCACAGCATGACTTCAGGGCTCTAACAAGAGCTTAGTTAAGAGATCAAGTGCTACTATTATGCTGAAATGTGAGTTAAAAAAAAACAAGGGTTCAAACAGTTGATCAAAACAAAAGAGAACAAAAGCATTACAAATCCCCTGAATAAAATATCGTCCCTGCGTTCAGCTTGATATGAGTCAAAGTGAGTCGGGGCACAAAATCAATAACCTCATTACTCTGCCAGGCAGGGGAGGCTGCACTGAAGGTGGAGAACAACAAAGCTTATTGTAGAAAGCTTGAGGCCTTCTCACATGAATCCTATGCATTAAAACCCGCCGCCTTGGTTATTAGACAAGTACAGTTGATTTAAAAAAAACGTATCAACAAGGTCCTTTGAATCAGACTGTGCGAGATCTGGAGCAAACAGAATGAGCATAATTCAGCGGCTGAAAGCCTTGGCATTTAGAGTAAGGATGTTATGCAACCTAGCTGAGCTGGCCGTGACAATCTGCATCACAAGCACACTCTAACTCTGCCTCTCTATCTATTAGCTTGTGGTGGAAGAAGTACTCAGGTCCTTTACTTCAGTAAAAGTGCCAGTATAACAATGTTAAAATACTTCATTACAAGTACAATCAAAAGAAGTAAAGGTATGAACAGCAAGATGTACTTAAAATGACCCGTTCTGCAGAAACATTTATTCTAGAAAAGAAAAAACTATTTTGAATTCATTTTGTGGAATATGTTTTTTCCTTTTTGGGACTCAAACAGTTATTAAAATGTTACCATCTCAGAGGTTCAGAGGGGAAAACTGCTAACAACTCATACATCTGAAACATGACAATGGATCCCAGATGTTGAAATGTTGGGAGCCACTGGTTTAATAAGTTTATGATGAGTTTTCATATTTAAAATCTTAATCTGAAAAGTAACTAGCAACAATATCTGTCAATAAATGTAATGGAGTATAAAGTCTAATATTCCCATCTGAGAAAGTCTGGCATTGTACTGGAGTATGAGTATAAAGTTGCATAAAAAGGAGATATTCAAGTACAACTATCTCAAAACAACAGCAGTTGGAACATTAAAAGCATCTCCTCACAAACTGAAATATTTCCCACCTGTGGCTGTTGATGTGTCGGAGAAGACGCTGTCCAGCTGTAACACCGCAGCATATCTATCCTGGGCGTTTCCGCTGCTAACTGGCGGTGTCGTCTGGCCGACGCTTCCAGGCTGCTGATGTGACAGAGCCTGGGGCAGATGCTGCTGCTGCTGCTGCTGCTGCTGCTGCGGCGGATGGTTCAGACCTCCAAAGTCGACGCTGAGAGACTTGGGGAAGGCCCTGAAGGGCCCTGTGGTGCCCGAGGCTGATATTGTACGACCTGAGTGCGAGAAAACCAGACTGAGCTTCGGTGCAAAGACAGCAGGGGAAAACTGTTGCAATTCATGAGCAATTCACAATTTGAATCTTCATTCACAACTAATTCTACATGTAGCAGTTTAAGTGAGCGAGGGCTGAGCAGAAATCATAAATAACTCATAATGAAGAAGAGAACAATTAATTAAAAAGTTATATTACAGAACATAGCTGGAACATGATCATATCACATGATTTGCACAGGTAAACTTCATGTGCTGACGAAGGTCATGAACTGATCACAACAACAGCCACTATATGGGCCTTGAGATGAGATTGTTCTGTCAACTGCTGAGTAACCTCAAAGGGACTATTCTGGAGCTCTCAATCATTTTGCATGATCTTCATCCACATTTTGCCAAGCTGTCATGGTATTAATTGTAGGTGTTAAAATTCTCATTTTTTTCTAGGCACTGGCAAACTTCATCTGCTGAAGAAGATCATGGGATACGGCTGAAAGGCCCAGAACAGCTATTGAACAGACCAACAATCTCACCGCAAGCGATATCTTTTTCACAGCTGCTGTTTCAGTCAAAGGTCAAGAATGAACTGTGAACTTCAGGAGGTTCATTTAGTAGCAGTTCTGGAGGTTACAATCAGATCATTTGATGTTCATCAGCAGATCAAGTTTGACAGTTGTAGATGTTAAAAGTTCCATTTTTTCTCAGCTCTTTAAGAATTTCTCACCGATGTTGGTTTAAAAGCTGAGGTTCAATGTTTATTCTTGGAAACAGCAGTTGAAAAACACCACAAAGTCCATTTAGTAGGTATTCTGCAACAAGTGCTCAGAAATAAACCCTGAATACTGAAACAAATTAAGGAATACTAATTGAGTAATTTTGTGCTTTATGAGATGAAATCCGATTTTATGCTAGTACATGTTTTAATACCAATTTATAAATTATATGATTATTCATATGGAGAAATATAAAGTCAAAAGCTATCAGCGAAAACACATAAAACAGTCCATACACTACTTAAACAAAGCCATCTGTCTCATGCTATTTTAACATTCTCATGCTACAAGGCTTGTCAAATACAGGATTAGCCTGACATATCAAGTAGCATGGATGGTCATCGCGGTTAAGCATTAACAACACAAAATCGAAAAGGCACAGCAGCGAGCCAGTAAGTTCTTGGATTGTTTTCAAAAGCACAAACAGTAACAAAGGCAGGGATTATTTGCAGGTAGCAAGCTTTCCACAAACACTGGCAAAGAAGCATGCTAGTATCAACCAAAATTGTTAGCATGAGGATCCAAATGAAAATGATAGTTTTTTAAAGCTTGTTTTCCTCTGTCAGCTGAGGAGTCAGTGACAGAAACCAGACCAGACTTGACCTGATACAGATAATCTGAAAACATATAGCATGAGAAAGTCAAGCTGCATGTTTTAGGGATATGATCATATACTTCTGTAGGGCTGGAGATAGGGCCTATCTTTGCATACCTGAACTATCTAGAATACTTGTTAGGGATGTTAATGCGTATCGTGGGATTACAGCTGCGCCCTACATAGTTTTTAAGTGCGCCAACGCCAACGTGGTGAGAAATATCAGCGGCCCTCTGCTGACGGGGGCAGCAGCAGCTATGGCCTAAAAATAGCATTACTTTAAACTTGTTCTTTTTCCTCTGAGGGAACAGCGTGTGCATCTCTCCTTGACCCTCCCAGCCTTCAGATCTGGGCTTTGAAGTGGAAAAACTGACTGATGAAGAAACATATCGACCACAATGGCAGAATATGACACCTGCCAGCCGTGACTCGGGCGACTAAAAGAATATAGAGCACTGTCTTCACTCAAACTGCTCTAAAAGTAAAGCCAAATTCACATGCACGTGAGGCACGGTCAGCGCCAGCACGGCCCACAGATTGGCCATTAAGAAATGAATGATACAGCATGGAAGAGCTTATTGATCTCAGCCATTCAGCACACACTCAAATGCATCGGTTAGTGCCTGTATCTTACCTAAAGTGAAGTGGTTTTTGAAAGAGCTACTGACTACGAGGCCAGGGAAAGAGAGGAGAGTGAGAGAAGACAGACAGAGACAGAAGAGAAAGAGGGAAAAATTGAGGGAGGAGTGGAGAAAAGAGAGGAGAAAGTGTCACTGACGTCATATGAAATTGCTGCCCCTGCTGTTGTCTGTGGCCAGCTGCTATTCATGAAGAGCAACCCAGTGTGCTGATGATGACATAGAGCCATTTTAAACCCACATTATATGGATAAAAAAAAAACCCCACTGTCAAGCTGAATGTAACGACTGAAGCCAAGTCTCTCTTTGTCCTTCCCCAAAGTGACACTAAGGGCCAACCGTGATGAGCGGACGGTGTCATCAGCGAGAAAATATTCAACAATCTGCACATTCTGGACAACACGCTGACACTACACACTGTCATATTTTACAGCTAGAGGCCCACTGAACAAGATAGAAAAGGATACAGATATATATATATATATATATATATATATATATATATATATATATATATATATATATATATATATATATATATATATATATATATATATATATATATATATATATATATATATATATATATATATTTTTTTTTTTTTTTTACAGAACAAAACCATGTCGCTGGATCATCTTCCTGTGCCACAGAAGGAGGAATTGGGATAATGAATATCAGAAATATCACGCCAGTTAGCAGTTATTTGTGTCATCTTCAGTGTGCATCAGGCTAAACAGTTCAGGCCTTATAACTAGTGGTAATTTGCCAAAACTTTTTTCAGGAATAGATTAAATCTGCTTGAAGGGTAAGGGGCTAATATTATTCTTATTTTCAGCAAATCCCAATGAAAGATCTAAACCAACAATGTGTCTGTCTCTTACTACTTAATTGCTTTTCGTATCTCTCAGCCCCAAGCCCACTGGGTACTAATGCAGTATACTTTCCTGAAACAGGTGGGCACAGTAGTTTCTGTAAATGTTACACAAACAGGGAGGGACTATTTTCAGCAGTGGATCAATACACATTTGGTGCTCTAGTTGGGTATTTACAACAGAGGGACAATCAATGTGGTTAAAATACACTACAGTGCTTGTATTCATGGTAATGAAGGAGGATGACAACCAGTGCGACGGTATGTTTTTAATAGAAAATGATGGCACAGAGGAATAAGATGTTATCAGGCTTTAGCCAGACAGGCAATGCTTGTTAGTTGGAATAATTCATTGTTGGTGTAGGCCTTTTAATGGGATCATGGGACAACAAGAAAAAATATAAAATGTCACCAGACTTATCCATTAAGATGAAGGTGTGATCCAGGTACCATCACAGCCACGTGTTCTGGACATGTCTTTGGCTGGAGGATTTTTGAACAGGGGTTTTTAACGCCCCCTTAAATGTAGGTGGCACAGGTATTGATGCTAACCCTGATGACAGCCATATTGAAAGTGGTCCTTTAAGATCACAGTTAATGTATAAAACCCACTATCCCAGTGTATGGTTTTATATTGCGTTATCATTATATATTATCATCTTTAATATCACAAAGCTTTTAATTTAAACACAGGTACATTACATGATATTTACTGATGTATGTAGAATGTGTTGTTCATATGTGTGATGCCATTTTCAAGATTAATTGAGACCAAGAAGGAAAATAAGGGGATCAGTGGGGGGACAGACCTGAGGGGCGCGGTAGGGCGGGGAAGGAGGGGCCGTGGCTCTGAGCTCCCAGTGCTGATGACAGGGAGCCTGGCCGCTGCCGTTCTATCCCACACAGGGTGGGATCTACATCAGAGAGAGATAACAAAATAGGTGAAGGGATTGATCACATTCAGTCCAAAAATATCAACTCCTCAGATAAAGATCAGCCTCCGACCTTTCAGAGAGGGATCTCTGAAGCTTTGGGAGCGCGATGGCCGAGCGGTAAACATGTCCGTCCGCATGTCAGCAGGCGAGATCACAGGAGCTCGATCCCAAGACGGCAGCTGGGACTGAGACTACAGGACAAGAGATGGAAAGAAAAAAGAAGCAGATGGGAGGTAGAAAGAGAGACACAAAGGCAGAAGAAGTGAGTCCCTTTCATGTTTTCTCAATAATTTATAAGCTTCAGCTTTGATGTCGAGGCTACCTGGCCCTCTCGCTGTCCGACCCATCAGTCTCTGTCTCTCTGGAGCAGCGTGGAAGTGAAGTCAGGTCTTTAGACACTCTGAACTATTTATCTGCTTTCACTTCCTCTTTTTCTACCACACCCGCACTTACTCTCTTAAATCCTCATCCTCTCACTTCCTCCCCTCTCCCCTCTGACTTCATTACTCTCTCAAGCCATTACATGCACAATTAGGATGCATTGGGCACTCTCACCAGTGGCCTTGTGGACCTGGCGTTGGGGGGAAGGTTATGCGAGGGGGCCTGGCTCGCCAAGGGACCATGTGAAGGGGGCATGGCCTGGACCCCTGGGCTCCAAGGACCCTCGACATCCCTCCGGTTCTTACTTTTAGAAAAATGCCTGAAAGAGTTATTTTGTTCAGATAATATTAGTCTGTGTGACCAACCGCCCTTATGAAAAGCACAATTAAGGCTTGACATTTAGTCAGTTGTCCACCTATCAAACATCATGACAAATACATTCCTAGGGCTTGAAAATACACCCAAAATAATGCTTTTATTCCCAGCATTAAAGCAGTTATTATCCTTGAGCAAATTTTTCTGAGTAGGCGTCTCCATTATAAACAGTAAATGTCTAAATTTGGAGCAAACGTCATCAGTTGTTTGGATCAAATTTTGTCCGCTTAGGCCCTTTTGCTTAGTCTTGTCTGAACTTGTGTTCTTGTGGACTTGTGAAACGTCAGTCGCAGCCCAAGTACTGTTCCAGTTCAAAAGTACGCATCTTGCCAAGTACAGTCAAATACCCGGATGTGTTCTCACTCCCCCCGTTTTACCGAACCTGCATTGGGTGGTGACTTGTGTGAACTTCGGATAGCCAAGTACTCCCAGAATGCAATTTGCGCCAAAAAGCGGAAATGTCGGTGGAGAAAACCCACAACTGTAAGTTATAATACTGCTGTTATTGTGTCACGAATGCAGTTTTAATAGTTTTTTAAAGCTGGAATATAGTTGTGTAAACTCCAAATATGTGGTCGATTTCTCAAAACAGAGCCGATTTGAAAATTTGCAACAACATTTTCGGAGGTGTGAGGTCCGGTCCACTAATGGAATTGCTGAATGACTGACTGTGTGCTCCCGTTCCTGGGAGTTTGTACTCCTGAGCAGAACTTGCCTTGCTGAAGTCTGAGCTTTAAAGTACAGAAGTCAGAACTTGGTTAACTCTGTATGGAGAAATAGAATAAGAGTCTACAGCCATGCTAGCAGCTCTGTAAAGTGCCACAAGCTAAATGCTAACATCAGCATGCTAACATGCTCACAATTACAATAACAAAGCAGCTCAAAGGGCTTTACATTAAATTGTAAAGCCCTTTAAGATGCAACAATAACAATGCTACCACACTGTTGAGCAGGTGTAATGTTTACGATGGAAGTTAGTTTTGCAGGTCTTTAGTCATTATCCAATGTGTAGTATGCTAACATTCTTAAAATTCATTGTTGGCATCTTAGCATAGCATGTTAGCATGCTGACATTTGCTAATTAGCACTAAAAACAAAGTAAGACTAATGTGAATGTCATTAGCTTTGCAGATATTTAGTAATAATCCAAGGTTTTGGACAAACTGAGATTTTACCTTGTCATGGCACTGCATGAAAAGTGAGCTAAGTGCTAATGTCAGCATGGTAACATTCTTGACAACGTGTTTTAGCAGACATAATGTTTACTATTGTTTGCATCTTTAATTCAGCATGTTAGCATGCTGACGTTTGCTAATTATCTCTAAAGACAAAGTAAGCCTAACGGGAATGTTATGTAACTGGGGGGCATAAATGTTTGCACCGAATTTCACAGCCATCCATCTAATAGTTTAGATATTTCAGTCTGAACCAACCGACGGACCGACTTAGCCATCCCTAGAGCTACGATGCTAGCAAAAATCATTGGTTCCAGCTTCTCAAATTAAACTTTTCTTCATCTTACATTATTTAAAACTGGATATTTGAAGATATAACACTGGGCTCTGAGAACTTGGGATGGACATTCTATCCATCAAATACTGAATCACTTAATATAAAATAATTGTTAGTTGCAGTCCTTTTCACCTTAGAGCATTTACTGCTACTGCCTGATTACATCACCGTGTGAAATGAAACCAAAATCCTCACCACTTTTTCTTCTCATATTTGTCCTGGAGGAACTCTTTGAACTTCTGAGAGTCCTTCATGTCTGAGCAGCCGTCTGTCTTTGGGTCAAACACACACAGCCAAGTCCTCCTCCCGACCTATACACACACATTTAGCCAGAGAACAATTCAAATTTGCAATAATTAGTCAGGTCATGCAGCATCGGAAAGGGCCGGTGTCTAAATCCTTGAGCATAAAACCCCTGCCTTTGTTTGACATTTAGTCTCAGAGAAAAACACAAACAGATTTTGTCTTCAGAGTCAGAGTGCGGCAAATATTTCTGGCTATGAATCATGACTAGCCGGATCACTCTTCAGAGGATGATGTGGGGGAAAAAGCTGGACAGCGCACACCTCTGCCTCTCCTCACCTATACTTCACACACACACATCCTGGCCGACAGGGAGTTGATAAAAACAGCACTCATCTTGACAGCCTGAAACACTTCATCCTTTATTTGCGTGATATAAGCCCAGGAGAGAGCGATGCCTAAACCACTGGTTTCCAAAATGGGTGCTGCGGGGTGCCTTTCTTTCATGTTTCATTGCACATTTTTAATAAAGTTTCACCACATAAAAAAAGGAACCGACTTCCTTTTTATATTTATGTTTTCAAACTCATCAAAATGGAAGAAGTAAGCACTAAACATGAAAATTGCCAGATTATAAAACTCTTAAAAAAAAAAATGCCGCAGCTAAGATTGGTGGATCGAGGTTGTCAGTCGTCATGGTAACGCAAGTGGCAGCTCGATCGATGTCGATGTTTGACCATTTCAAAAATAATTTGGTGACTATTTTGATCATTGTTAATTGTCACATAAGGAAACATTTTTGATGAGGATTCCTTACGTTTGTAGGGCTTTTTTTAAGAAGTGTGATCAAGCTATGTACTTAGTGGGGAAGTTTTACAGTTATGAAGGGGTTTCCCCGGTTTTAAAACATTTGGGAACCACTGGCTACACACACACACATCCAGAGGAACTAGACTGTAGTTTGGGTGAGACACACAGTGCTGGTCCTTTAGTTTCTTGGCATGGTGTGAGCTGTAGCATTCTTCCTCCCCCAAAAAGAGCCATGAGGGACGTTTCATATTCTGCATCAGAACCAGACAGTTGAGTTAAAAACCTAAACCAAAAGAACTGGGACTAATGACCTTGGATGACTTTGCAATTGTGAATGAAAAGAAAAAACTGATTTAAATGCATTTATGTCACTACGAGGTGCTGCCTCAAGTCCTGCCTTTAAGCTCACCTGAAGCCTACGACCTGTGGATGTCACTCACCTCGTTGCCATGGTTTTGGAGGAACTCCACTTCCTGTTGGGAGAAGGTTGTCATGGAGATTGACTTGACCCTATGGGGAGGGTTGAGGCCTCTCCTGGGACACAGAGGAGAGAGAAAGTAAAATTGGGCAGAAATATTAAAGACGCCTCGAGGGGACACAGCAGGTGGGAGAGGAAACATCTGACACGTGACTGTGAATTTAAGGACAGAACTGGTGTGAAAGAGGCGCCACACACACACACGCACACACACACACTTGTGATAGATAAGTGTGTATTTCAGTATCCAGCAGAGGTGGGACCAAGTCAGTGTTTTACAAGTCACAAGTCAAGTTCCAAGTCCAGACCAGTTGAGACAGGCAAGTCCCAGTCAAGTCTCAAGTCCTAAACAAATCATAATGTGCATAATGTGTGAAACGTAATAATTGGTGGAAGCCAAAATCGTAATCGAGATTAAAATTAGATTTATTGCACAGCCCCATGTTTATGCGCTTCTTAAATATCATAATTTATATTTGGACTTGGGGAGGGTGTCAAGTCAGTTCAGTCAAAAGGGTCAAGTTCAAATGAAGTCGGGAGTCATTGGTGTTAAAGTCGAGTTGCAAGTCTTCTCTGATTTTGTCAAGTCCAGTCTAAAGTCCACATAACTGTGACTTGAGTCCAGGTCATATGACTGGAGTCCACACCTCTGGTCCAGAACCTCTTACTGTCTCCATGCTGGGAGGTGGTGGTGGTGGGTGGGGGACACACAAAGTGGACACTGCTGTATGTGTGCAGGATTGCCCAATAAAGTGCTGAGACCGTCTTCCTGGGGAGTGTTGGGACTAGGCTGAACATGCATAACAAAATGTGACCGCACACGCACGCACACACACGCGCGCGCGCGCCCACAACCGGAGAGGAGCCTGAGAGAGAGAGAGAGAGAGAGAGAGAGAGAGAGAGAGAGAGAGAGAGGGGGTAGAGAGAGGCAGTGTCAAACCTGCACCATGACGAAATGAACCGTAACTCAGAGCTGGAAAATGACCAACTAGCGGTTTCTCGTTTATGAAGCTGTTGGGAGAGACACGCACGAGAGAGAAAGAGAGAGTGACGCGTAAATCAACGTGTGGCTGTTGCACCGCACCAACACTCCCTGTTAACGCTGAAAAAAATACAATAACACGCTGTAAATCTGGCTCTGGGTGGTGCATGGTGCAATCTCAGGGCCTGGCACTTCTTTAATCTACTGCTTTCTATCAGTATCTGTTGGTCCTCCTCACGCACTGATGCTAAAACGTGCAGTAAATAAACCCAGGAGGCGCGGCAGGGTTTTTATTTATTTTTTTTACTCACAGCATTCCGGAGCACGACGTGCAGACGAAGCTGCCCACCGTGATGTCGGTGTAAGTCACTCCGGGTTGGTTGCACTCGAAGCAGTGTTTGTTTACTCCGGACTGGGCCAGCTCACGGACCTTGCGGGCGCAGATCTCCTGGTTGTCCCGGTGCTTTCGGTTCGACATTTTATTCCCTCCCGGTTCCTGGCACGCAGGCTCGGTGTAAAGCCGGTAACCCTCCGCTGTCCTCCTCCTGAATCCCTCTCCGTTTACTACATGGAGCACTTCACGGCCGCATTGTGGAAACGCTTTTATGCGGCTTCGCCCCTCAAAATGCGAGACTACGCGGAGGAGAGGCGCGTCAAGTCACGCACAGTGAGCTGCACGCATGCCGGAAGCATTAGAGATTTACTTCAAAGTAAGAGCAAGTGACAGGTGACGCTTTAGATAACGGTCATTTTTACTTTTAGGTTGCCTGTTTCTTTAAAAATTTGTTCCAATATAACCGCTGGTTACCTCATCAAACTGTTTGTAGGTCAAGGTATTTTCCAGTATCTCTGTGTGTATTCTGTGAATCATTACTTTGACATAAAGACTATGAGATAATGAATAAATGTCACAGTTATGTTAGGGAATATATATATTTACAGGTTTCATTTTAACTGTGAACTAAACAAAGGTCCACTTAGCAGCTGTTTTTGGAGCTTTTTCTTGTATTATTATCTCCAACAAGCAGATGGAGTTTTCCCCAGTTGTCCCAGTTGAGATGTAGATGTTAGAATTTCCATTTTCTTCAGGTCCATGCTGGCTTAAAAATTGAGTGTTGCGTAAAACCATGAGATGTGACTGAAAGCTTCATAACAGGCTCTAATGGATGTTTTTTTGTCTTGTATTTATTTATTTGTTTGTTTATTCAGAAATGCCTGTTTTTGACTGGCCTGTTTATAATCTGCTTTGTGAAATACCAAGGATGGATTACAAACCAAGCAAAGCAGACAACTGCCCCCAGGGCCCCAGACCCCCAGGGGGCCACAAAGACACCAGCTTGTCTGTTTAGCAACAACTTTGTCTTCGGTAACATGTACCAGAAAAGCACAATATAATCTTAAACGATGAGGGTTTTGAGGTTGCTGTAGATTGATGATGTGTTAAAAATGTAGTTAGTCTTTTGGGCTTTTATGCTTTTATTTGATAGCTGACAGTAAAGAGATTAAGGGAAATGAAGGGAGAGATGGAGAGATGGGGAATGTGATGCAACTAAGGTCGTTGGCCTGATATGAACCCAGGATGCTGTGGTTTTGTAGTTAGTGCTTTAACCCCTCAGTCACCAAGGTGTCCCTAAAATCTAGTTCTAATACTTTTAATAATCCAGTTGACATTACAGTGTGTTTACTTGCTGCATATGCTTGAACAAATGTGCGTTTAATCAAAGGGATAATAGGGGCCCAGACTTTATTTTTACATGAGCAGGTTAATCTGTGTGGTGCAGTTTATTTTTATTATAACCCAGTCATGGGTATGGGTGATGGGCAAAGCCCTCACTGGGCTATCAAAAATCTGTTTGTGGGGGAAAGGTGCTACAGGTTAGATGTTGTCTCGAAAAATGTAAGACAACAGCCGTTTAAATTCCAGCCAGGCCTTTATTTTGAAAACCTACGATACCTGAAATTCTGTGTGGTTTGACACTTGGACAGATGCGCAGGGATTCTCCTGTCAGAGACATGTAAGAGCCTGTCTAGAAGCCAAGTTTGACATCGTCTGACAACCGCTCACCCTAACAGAACCGACTGTCTGACTCTGCTGCGCCATTTACGCCCTCTTTAGTAATTTGTGGCGCAACGCTGCGCTTCTGACGCTCGAGCGCGCTCTGGAAAGGACCGCTTATTTTTAGAGCGCAGATAGGGACAGCAGGGGAAATGAAAGACAGCAAAGTTTCGATTACTATAACGGAAAATTTAAAGTTTATGAAAAGCTAACCGAGATTCTTCATTGTATATTACATAAAGTAGGCTACAGTTTGTTTGTGTCTTTATATAAATCTGTTTTTGGCCGTCAAATTTTCCCACGGACCTTTTGTGACTGGTATGTTTTTAAATACAAGTTATTACAAAGCTCTTTGTCCTCACAGAGCTGGACTATTTATTTTGATAAAGCGTCTTAGCAACGAAACAGACGAAACTACGCCCTTCCCGTGACGTCTGTGAAGATATGTGAGATTGATCACTCATTGGCACACAGACAGAAACAGTGTGAGCAGTGCGGTGGTCAGTGAAGGCATCACAGTACTGTGATCATCTGACCGATGGACTCACGGAAAAAATTATCATCTGCAGCATGAACCAAAGTGCAGAAAGAAAATGATCAAAACAAGTCACATTGTTGTCAGATGAGCTAAGCCTTACAAGCCCTGCAGTGACTGTTTCTGATCAGCAGGGGGGGCCGCACACATCCTATGATAGATAGACAGATAGATAGATAGATAGATAGATAGATAGATAGATAGATAGATAGATAGATAGATAGATAGATAGATAGATAGATAGATAGATTTGTATTATGTTTGTGCATTGCAACACAACACTCTAGCACTAGCAATAACTAGCACAGACAGACAAGCCTGTTGATTAGCTGTAATTACACTTCTCTGCTCAGCAGTCAACCACAGGCTTCAGGCTGTCTGTCTGCACCAGCCTGTGGCGATGATGACAAAGTGCAGATAGCTTATTTAATGTTGCCCAACACTTTGAAATTGGTTGTTTAGTCCTTTTTTTTTGTAAGACCTGGGGATTACGGAAGACCCTTACTGCCAGAAAAAAAAGTAAAGTTAGTCTTTAACTAACTAACTTAGTCTTTGTGTCTTATGTTCCACTGAGTAAGTCTTAGCTTTTAAATAGTATTTCATATTCTGATTTAGTAAGTCTTAGTCTTTGACTTAGTATTTCTTAGTTTCTACATAACAAAACCACAATTTTGGCTTCCCCATAGTTTTGACTTTGTATTTTGAACTTTTTTATTTAGTGAGCCTTTATTGTAACGTAATATTTCAGAGTTTTGACTTACGTTGTCTTGTAATTTTGACTACGGCATAGGCTACTTTTCACCTGGTATTTAAAAACTTTAACTCACAATCTCATAATTTAATAAATCTCAATTTACCATGAGTAGGCCTATTGTTATTTAAATCATGTGTGATACTAATCTATTTTCACACCTTTCTTGGCAGGTATGGACTTCCATACATTAAATTTCTTCACAGAGGGTGGCTTTTTAGCTTATAGGCTGCCTTCTTCACTTCACTCACCAAAAGCAAAACAAACAAACAAAAAAAGGTTGCCAGACAAGAATACACACCCAGTGAAGTGTAGGCCTACACATAACAGTAAGTGAAAAGGGGAATACACAAACAGCAACTGGAGAAACCAAGTGAGAGGGAGAAAATGTCCACATGGCCTGCTGTCATAATATCACATATCAGATTATTGGCAATGAGACTCTCATATTTTTATATGATGATGCAAACTAATAGATATAGACCAAAAAGTATATTAGAGACTTTTTAGTCTTACCTTTAATTTTGTGCAGTTTCCTACCTCAAAACCACAATTTACCATGAGTAAGAAACCCGGAAATAGTGAGATTGGGGGTTGGACCTCGTGTGTGTGTGTGTGTGTGTGTGTGGAGTTAGAGAGAGGGTGAGAGAGAGAGAGAGAGAGAGAGAGAGAGAGAGAGCGAGAGAGCAGTACTCCAGTCTGCACCCTTGGGAAGAAACATCTTATTCATTTGGGAATATCGATATGTATTAATCAGTAAGGATAGGAAACTTTCTGCAGCATCCTCTCCCCCGGCACACGGACCAACCTGCTTCTTATTTTTTACTTCCCGGATTTAAAGGGTTTCAACGCGACTAACATCTCCCTGCGTTCATTCATAAGCGGTGACAAGTCGCGTTCTGGCTCGGATGTGCGACAGAGGAGCTTCAGACCAGGCACACGGTGTCCCCCCTTCAATAGAAAGGAGTAAACAGGGCGAGCTGCGAGAGGAATACAAATTGTACCGGTGAAAGAAAACGTCCGACAAGAAGAATGAGTCGAGCTGCCGATGTGGAGCGTTAAACCCCGAAAAGATTTAGTTTGTACTTGTCAGGCCGATCCTGTCCGCCTCCAGCCCCAAAAGAGGATTCAGAGGAGTCTACTTTGTTGTTTTTGTGTGTGATCTACTAACTAAACGGTGGAATGACAGTCAAGCTGGACTTCGAGGAGTGTTTGAAGGACTCCCCGCGCTTCAGGTAAGAGTTTCACCTGTGCTTTACTGCTGATAGTGATGTAGTCAATGAAAAGGGAGGCTGACAATGCAAAATACCAAAAAAAGTTTAAAATCTGGATAGAAAAGGTGGATAAACCCACTTATCGTGATTTTAGAAAAGCAGTAGGCCTATATAATTTCATTGTATTCCTTTTTGAGCGTCTACTCTGTCACATCCTCATGTTAGTGGCTTTTCAGACTCCCAGTGACTTTCTCTGCGTGTAAAAGCATTTCATGTTTCGTAATTACTGCTGATGCTAACTATCAGCAATCCCTCTGGGTCTGAGGTCAAGCCATGTCCTGTCACTGCAAGTGTTTGGGGTCAACGAAAGAAACAAGACACTACAGGCAGGTCCCTGCTCCGATGCTGCTGTTCGGGGGCTGCATTTTGATGTGTCACTGAACCCACAGGAAGTTGAAATTCAATTTTGTCATTCAGCATCTGTCTCCCACAGATTTCTGTTGATCACTTGTGCTTTTTTCTTCTATTGTAAAAATCTAACTAAACTCAAGCAAATGTCCACATACTAGAACAATAAAAGCCTTTAAAACCTCAATGAATGCCTTTAAATTTCCTAACTGTGTTGTGAGTAGCTCTGCTGCATGTCAGTCAATCTTCTTTCAACACAGAATCGACATCTGGTCAAAAGGGAAGTATAGTTAAATTGGTTTTGCAAGCAGCTCTAGAGAGTTTGGCAGAATTTGGGTGTGCCCTCAGTTTTTGGCACCCTGCCAGCACTGCTTGGTGTCATCTCTTCCAGCTGATTTGACATATTTCAATCCAGACTCCTAGCCCATATTGAATTTATGAGGCCTGCACAGTGGTGGAAAGTTTGAGTTGTGGCAGCTGCAGCGGCGAGGTCTCATGTCAGGCCGAGAGGATAGGAAGGAACGAAGGGAAGGGATGGAGGGGGCTCATAGATATAGTCAATCAAACAGATAAGCGGAGAAAGTGACGGAAAACACAGGAGACAAAGAGCAAAAATGTGCTGCCTCCTGTTGCTCAGTAACGCTGGTGTGGGAGGGCAACAGGAAGTGAGCCGAGATGTGCAGAGGTGATCAACAGGAGAGACAGGAAGTGAGTTTTCTGTGGGGACAACCACGGCGGAAACTCAGCTTTAGCTCTGTCTTAATTTGCTCTCTGTTTCGCATGCATCCTAAAGAATGTGACGCTAATTCAGAGAGAAGTGAAAAGCTTGCGCCTCTTTTTATCTTCCTCAGGCCTCCTCTTTGTCCTTTCCTCTCCCTTTTCTTTCCCTCACCTCCTTAGCTGACTTCTCATTTGGTCGTATTTCAAGAGGACATGACCTCAGACTTTGATTCAAACATCCCCGTACTAACAAACACAGAAACACAAACGGTTACTGTCTGTCCAGGCCCTCCTCTCTTCACTCAGTCTTGCCTCTCTTTTCTTCTTCCTCTCTCTCTCTGTCTCTCTGTATCTCTGTACTGTTGGTGGAAGGCAGCGGAAACCACATGGTTGAGCTGTTGGTAAGAGAAGAGAGGAGAGACACTGGCTGTTACACCAAAAACTGACAAACTAGCCATGCACAGGACTTGTGTGGGAGATGTTTGAGAAGGCCAGCTCTTGTACTTGGAACAAAGCTTATAGGGACTATTGATCGATTATGAGCAACAAGTATAGCAGTATATTTGCTTTTACAGTCTAAATACTTACAAGAGGGCCCATTCTGCAGGCCTGCAAAACATCTCCACGATGCTGTTCACATTTTATTTTGAACTGCTGCCCAAGAGTTCAGGTTTCTAAAAATACCAGAAGTGTCATGCTGAATTACAGTGAAGTGATGAGGATGCACAGGAATTTTGCATTTGCTGTATCAATGCAGCCATGAGTGCTGTAGCTTCACTGAAGCATTAAAACAACTAAATACACAGCACTGTACGTGCAGTATATGCAGACCTGTTTGAAAGCCCTAGGGGAAATGTTATGGAGACAAATCAGGGTCATATGATAAATTACAAATTATAAATGAAAAGGAAACAATTGAAAATTAAAGTTGAGTCACGAGCATTATATTAAACCCTGAAAACATGATTATGCAACACAATTACTTAAATAAGTTACACCTTTTTTCATAGTTGAAGATGAATACTAGTTATGCAATTAGTTATTTTCATTAGTGACTGATCTGTTGATTATATTTTCAATTTTTGTTACTCCGTGACAGACAATAAAGTTATTTTAAATGCGCTCATCTGTAGTCCCTGGACAGATGTTACATAGTCACCTTAAAAGAAGAAAATAAGATTTAAAGTTATTGAAAAAGTTCATAACCCCTTAGTGCAAAAAATAAAAAGACACTATTACTGTTTGTAAAGAAAATAAAAGTTAAAAGATTGATACCATACTGTTAGCTACAAATTAAAACGCACGCAATGCAAGAACATGGGGAATATGAGTTGAAGTTAATAGAAATATTGTATGCGCTAAACGAGATGACATAAAAATTAGTATTAAATAAAAATATTACACAAATAGTTAAATTCACAGGGATGCTAAAGTGAAAATTTGATAAGTTTGAAACCTGTGCACATTTGTCATATTTTCTTGTTAAACGACTAAAAAAATTAGTCAACAAAATTATTTAGTTTTTTTGTCAATAGGTTTTCTGTCGATTGACAAATCATTTTATTAATAAATCAATTGAGTCAACATTTGTCACATTGACATAACCTGTGGCACTGATTTCTCTCCATAAAGGTTAACGTAAATATTGTATACATGTGTTTATTTTTCTTAATTTTTTTTTGTGACCTTTGACACAAAGCTCTTTGTGTGTTTGTTTGTGTGTTTCAGGGCTGAAATCGAAGTGGTCCAAAGTGATGTGAGTGAACTCGAGACGCGATTAGACAAGGTGAGATACTTGCACCTACACCTACACACACTTTTATAATATCTCACTCAGTCACAGCTCTACTTTCAAAAATGTTCCCTCGGACACACACACACACAGACAGCAGTTGTTGGACGTGCTCATCATGTGAACAGGCTGTGAAGTGAGAGGTGGGCGGCGGTTGAGGTATTTCTCACCTGACAGTGAGCAGGAAGTAACTGCAGGTGCTGCTTCCCCATCGTATTGTCCTGCAACAGAGAAAAACTACTAGTTTGTTCTGCTTCCATACGTTAACACATATTCCCTATTGTGTATTTGGGTGTTTGCGTGCATGCGTAACAGTTTCAGATCTATTAATCTGATAGAGAGGTCACATGTTGCGTTTCTGTTCCTTGATGATACTTAAAAAGCATGATCATAATGCCGTGTCACTCTGTGATGTTTGTGAATCTCTGGTACTGTTTATAAAAAAAAACAAACAACATAGAAATAAACCAGAAGTTCCAGACAAAGCACTTGGCTCATTTAACTTTCCCTTCACAGCATCATAAAAGTGAGTGAATAATGTGTTGCAACGGGGAGATGCAGGGATTTAGAAGAAACTGGTCTAACTGGGTTCAAGCCCTTCAGGCAAGAAGTGAGCAGAAAAAACTGACGCCTTCCCTGCTCCAGTGTTGCCGCTCTGTCTTTTGCTACTGAACTCTGATCCTACTGTTTAAGAAAGAAAGAGAAAGTTCCCTCCTTACACTGGACGCTTTTAATATAAGAAGGAATCCTGTTTTTTCTTTCTTCCATGTCCTGATAGCCTACCGGGCTACACTGTATCATGGTCTAACAACAGATTAAAACGACTTGAATAAATGTTTAGACCATGCTAGAAGAAATAGCCAGATCCTTTACTGTAGTAAAGGTAATACCACAATGAAATTATCTAAAATAATCAGTTAGAAATAAAAGTCCTGCATTCAAACTGTTCAAAATGTTAGTACAAGTTTTAGCAGCAAAAAATACTTATATTGTGTTTGCTGAGTTATGTTATTACATTATTGGATTCTGATGCATTATTGCAAACGTACCATTTTAATGTTGTGGTCCAGGTGTAGCTGGTATTAATTTTTTTTTGATTTGTTTATTATTTTTTTTTTTACACATACTGCTCTATGTAATACCTACATATGTTTTGTATGTAAAATCTAAAAATTTTCAAAATAACTAGTATAGCTATCTGATCAAATGGAGTGGGGTTAACAGAACAACATGTCCTTTTGAAAAAAAAATAGCAGAAGTATAAAGTAGCATAAAATAGAAATAATACTCAAGTACATAAAACCACCATCCTACTGTTGAATGTCAAAATGTCTTATCAGACCTATCAGCACGAGTAAATGCTGGATAAGCTAAAATAAACTGTGGTATACTAAAGGTGCATTCACATCCACACAGGTGTTTTCACTTACTCCTGCTGATTAGACCTCATAAAGGTGTGGTTTGTCCATTGCTAACATGTGCAGTAAAGCTAACTGAAGAGTGAGGGAGCTGTCAAGTAAAGGGAACCTGTGTAACTTTTGCTGAAGATGGACTGTTGTGGCCACAAGCAGCAAATACAAGAAAACGGTAAAATGTAGCGTTAAAAGTGGCACAAGAGGCAAAGAGTGATAAAGTCAGTGACTCTGAAATGTCAGTTACACAGCAATATCCATCTGAAATTTCCCAACATGAGCCACCAGTCACCAACTCTGCAGTTCCCCTGAGAAGCTCTGTAGCATGTTTCAGCGCATTGGTTTGGCTTTTTGGTCCACAACGTTACTGTCTGGTTCACTTTCACCCCTCTCCTCTGTGTTGTTCCCAGGCTAAACGCTCTAAAAGCAACTAGCTTGTGATCATAGTGGAGTGTTTAGCAGCTTGAGCCAGATATTTCCCTCAGGAGGTGGTGGAGACTGAAAACAAAGCTAAAAGACGTGTGAATATTGGACATTTGTCAGGTAGCCAGAAACACGACTCTAAATAAACGCTAAAGTTGCAACTGTTTGCCTACACAAGGTTAGCCGTAATAATTTTATGTCGATGTTGTGTTTACAGCTTGTTCTACTTCCAAGTGTTGTTGCTGTAAATAACTTGTTTTAAAGTGTGACTGTTCTAAATGTAATCTTGTATAGGCCTACAGCAACTGTCATCTTTAATATCTGTGAACTATGTACAAAAAAAGCCCTAAACTCTTTATGTTTTTGTAGAATAAACTATTGGTGATATATTGTTATTAGTTTTATCAGAATCATAAAACCCACTATTCAAAAAAAATAAAAAAATCCAGTTCTTGATCTAATGCAGTTTAATGAGCTCCAGAAAGTATTTAACAGAAGCCTGAGGTTATTTTCAGCATGCGCAGTAATTACGCTCGAATAACCTCTAACTCTGGCTGTTTTATTGCCTTAATGTGTGGACTCCTGGAATAACTCCTCCATTATGTTTAATTATTCATACTGTTAATGACCAGCCGTTAGTCACCTCAAGTGTCTCTTGTTTGAGTATTCAGTACAGAAATTGCATTTTGTGTCATCCAGCTTGTGAAACAATGTCAGGCCATGCTGGACGCAGGCAGGGTCTACTGCCAGACCAGCAAGAGCTTCGTCAACGGCCTCCGGGAGCTGGGACACCACTGCTCCGGGGACAAAATGATGGAGGTGAGAGGAGCACAGTCGTCGGAGAGTTATTTCTCATTTTTATACTCAGATTATGCCACATTTACTCAAAGAAAGTACATATTGTGGGTTTCAGTGGGACTAAATTGATTGAGCGGAAACTGGGATCACAATCTGCACTCTAACTACCATACAGACATTGTTGTTATAGATTAAAAAGAGTCTAATTTATGATGTCTGTCTGCAGGAGTGTTTGGACAAATTTTCCAAAAAGCTGTCCATCATCTTGGACGCGCAGGGGGTGAGTCTGTCTGTCTGGGCCTTTTGACTTACTGTCTTTGCACCAAAATCTCCATCCTGGTCATGACGCTTCTCAGCCCCAGTGTGTGGTAGCGTGGTCAAATAAGGCCGCAGCACGCTGTTGAAAACATAACATTTGACATTTAACAGCTCTCTGTGTTCACAGTATGTGTTCTGTCTCCTTTCTAGGAAGTGATTGAGACCACGCAGATGGCAGTCAAGACGAAGCTACAGAACTTTGTCAAAGAGTGAGTGAGCTGCTTTGGTGACCTTCCCTTTATTTCATCAGATATTTTGTGTTTGGTGCCTCTCACCACCAGCAACAGTGTAGCTCATCCAGTCAGCCATCTTCTTCACAATGAGTCACTCTCCTGCATGTCTGGCAACCATTAGCACACCACATGAAAAAAATATTAGAGGGTTATGATCCTTCATTTTCCTTCCTCCTCGTGCAGAGTGCAGAGCAGACAAAGTGTCTGCTCTTATTAGAGGGAACGACACGGTGGATTAGACGAGAGAGAGGATGTCTCATAGCATGTGACAAAAGTGGTTAGCTGGATTTTTAACCAGTGAAACATTTTGAATTTGTGGTTTAACCCTCTGAGCTGAGCAGAGTTTGCAGAGTGGATTTAAACAATGTAATACCACACAAATAACTCAATAATACATGACATAACAACAACTGCATTTACCACCTGCCCCTATGTGCACAGTCTGTCATTGCTTAATGGACGTCACATTGTTAAAGAGGTGGTATTATGCTTTTTGGCTTTTCCCCTCTCCTTTATTGAGTTATATACCTTTTTTGTGAATGTAATAGGTTTGCAAAGTGAAAAAGCCCAAAGTCCAGCCCAAAGGGAGTTCCCATCTCCCACAGAAAACTCTGCTCGGCCTGAAAACAGCTCGTTTGCAGTCCAGCCACTTCCCTTTCATCACTGTGATGTCACAGGGATGAAAGCTAAATGCACCTCATATAACGCTCGCCAAGCGGCTCGTACGACACACCCTCAAACACTGGTGGAAAAACAGAGCTGCAGCACACACCTCTCCTCTCCCTTCCAAACACTAGCTACCCTCCTGGCAGTCAATGGACATAAAGTTGTTACAGTGATGTAGAGACAGAGCTCAGTTAAAACTTCATGGATGAAAGATTCTTTTGTTACAGATTAATAACTCACCACTCTGAAACTCTTGCTCCAGTGTGCTAGCTAAGCTGGTAAGGGGAACATATACAGCTGAACCAAAGCTGTTTACCGGCTTCTCACAACTCGCCCTTCTCTGCTTCTGATTGGCTAGTAGTCCTTAACTAGGTACTGCGGCATGTGCAACTCCCAACAAAGATCTTGTAGAGGTGAGCTGCATCACTCTATAGCTAAAATGAAGCATTCAACACTGAAAAGACACTGAAAAGAGGAGCTGCAGCAATGTGCAGTATTACAAAAACATGGTGTTTTTTGAAAATTAAACCATGTAAACCTGTTCTGGTACAACACCTAAATAAGATTTTAAACCTGAAAATGAGCATAATACCACCTCTTTAATATGGTACAGTGCAGTATAATATGTAATATAACAAGTACTGACCCCTTACAAGTAAGTGATATAAATCTACAGGTAAATAATCATGACCAACAACAACCTGTTTTTTGCTTTTAAAATGGCTCACATAGCAGATACTCAAGGAAGCAGGTAAATCTTACAAAAAATGCCTCTTTCCCTCTCTCCCTGTCTCTCAGGGATGTTCGCCGGTTCAAGGATGTGCGCAAGGAGTTTGAGCGCGGCAGTGAATGCCTGGAGGGGGCGCTGGTGAGGAACGCTCAGGCCCCACGGGGGAAACAACACGAAGTGGAGGAGGCGAGCAATGCTTTGCTCAACGCACGCAAGACCTTTCGGGCTACAGCCCTGGATTACGTCTTGCAGGTGAGAAGCTGGATGAAGTAAAATTTTACTTTTCACCACTTTCATATTTTTTTATCTTTAACTACAATAATAAAAATAGAGTCGCTTTAGACTCTCTTTTATTCCGGTAGCCACTGAAACACTGAATCTCACACCTGCACTACAAACTGGACTTTATTGAGATCTCTATATTTGGCATTGGTCTTAATTTTATCACTTTTATAGACAGGATGGTAGCAGTGTTTCTATTTATTGATTGATTGTTTTTTCAATATTCTTATTTTTATTTCTTTTTATATGAATATTATAAGTGAATGTTTTAATGCTTTTATGTCCTTCACTTCTTATGACCTGTGTTTTAATGCCTGCATGCAAATAATAAATAAATAATAAAGTTGCAGTATTAATTCATTAACCTGCATTTGTGTGTGTGAATAAAAACAGGCTTATACAGGTTCCACAGAATGTGAGAATACAAACAACACTATTTACAAAAGTCAGTGCATCCAGGTACCAAAAACAGCCTGGATAAAATATACAGCAGCACGTCTAATTATAGTTGTGCTTTTTCTGTTTTGAATGATAACAGGTTTGCTTCGGGGATTTTCTCCAGACTTGTGGTTTAACTGGCCAGTGAGTTTTTTTTGGTTATGGAAACATGAACACTGTCTCTAACCGCTGTTTCCTTTTGTTTTAGGTTAATGTCATTGAGGCCAAGAAGAAGACAGACATTTTGATGGCAGTGAGTTCACATTGACCAATTTTAAGTTCATTTAGTTGCTTTTGTAAATATGTGGCGTTTAAACATGTGAACTGTACTGGAAGCATGTAATCCCTGTGGGGGACAATGTCTAATGTGTGTCCTGATGCCTTTTTGCTGGACTTGTTAAGAAAAGCTCTTGACACTGCCTTCTCATGCTTCCTGTCAGATGTTGTCGCTGATGGAGGCCCAGGCCCAGTTCTTCCAACATGGCCACCAGTCTCTGTCAGAACTGGACGAGTATAGGCGAAAACTGAATGAAGAGGTAATTTGCTTGCTAGAGCCTGATTGATTTAATTTCCTTTGTCACAATTGTAGTGACACTGAAAATCTTGTAGCGATGTTAACAAGGCGTTCGATGACAGAACTGGTTCGGTGCAAATACTGACTATATAAATAACAGCCGGGCAGGAAAAAGAGACATTTAGTCTGACAAAGTCTTGTCTGAAGTGTTGTTAAGAGGCTGAACATAGCAGCCTAAAGATGTTGCAAGGACGGCATTTAAAAGAAAACAAAAAGAGCTAGAATAAGTGGTTATTGACAAACCAATTAAATATATAATTGTCAATACTATCTCACCTCAAGCTCCATAATGAGCTGCTCTGGAGCGTTCAATCAGATCACTTGAGCTTCAGCAGATCAGCAAATGAAAATTTCCAAGTTGTCATGGAATTGTAGTTGTTCAAATTTCCCATTTATTCTTGTCCACATTGGCTTAAAAATAGAAATCGAGCAAGTCTCAAATGAGGTCTTTACCTTTGAACAGCTGTAGGCAAAATTATCAGACCACAAGGTCCACAAGGTCTGGTTAGAAGCAGTTCTGTAGCATTTTTATTAGACAATATTTTTCACACCCTGTGGAGGTTTTGACTAGACTACTGGTGAGAAATGTTTTGAAGAGCAGATCTCTGTATTGCAATATCATAGAAGGATGCAGAGGTGACATGATGGAATTGGACAGAGGAAAATGCTAAGTTTTGCTTTTTTGTGGTTTTTTTTTCATTTATACCTTTCCCTAAACTTTGCACTTTTACTTATTTATATTGAGAGAATGTCAGATGGTTTGTTTTCAGTTATTCAAATCAGACAGTTTTTGATTGGTGGCTGTAATACGTCATAAAGGTCTCAGGTTAAGTTTTTTATTTTGGCTTAGCATAGATATTTGAGATATTGGTGAGACATTTTGAATGTAAACAATAACATGTTTATGTACAGTAACCCACATTGTACCCTTATTAATAAGACACAAAATGTTGTTTGGTTAAGTTGCGTCAGACGAGTTCTTGGTTGGCGTCTTTCTAAAGGGGGGCAGGGCTGAGAAGTCACAAGATGACATCACATTTTCATTGTGACAGGAAAAAGTGTGCAACAACAGGAAATATTTCACATGTCTCTGTGTGTGTGTGTGTGTGTTTCATTTTCTTATATCCTTGTGGGGACTTTAACCTGGATGCACGCTAGAAGCTGCTTTTTGAGGGTTAAGACGTGGTTTTAGGGTTCAGGTTACAGTTCGGTTAGCGTTAGGGCTAGTTGCGTGTAGTTGTGATGGGTAAGGTTACGGTAAAGGGCCAGTGAATGCATTATGTCAATGAGATGTCCCCACAAGGACAGGGGAACGTGTGTGTGTGTGTGTGTGTGTGTGTGTGTGTGTGTGTTGCATCATCAACGATGAACATCAGCAGTATTATTTTTGAGTGTTTTGCTAAATGATAAGAATTTAAGACAGGAAATGAATTTGTCAACGTTCACTGGCCAGTTCAAACCACAACAAAGCTCTTCCTGTTTAAACAGGAAATGCTAGGAAGACTAAGCAGATGAAAGAGAGACACTGAGGAATAATACACTGAATACCCTGACTCTCTACAAGCTAAAACCACCAGAGTTGTCCCTCAGTTTGGCACAGGGTGTAGGAAGAGGTTCAACGCTTCCTTATTCCTGTTTCCTGAGTAGCAAAGTCTGCAGGAGTGATAACCAGCGCTGAACTTGTTTCATCATCCCTCCATCGCTGTCTTTCTCACAGAGGCAAACATGCTAGAGAGGAAAGGAAAAGGAAGAAGAGGGAAAGTAACCCTTCAGTGCAGTGAATAGACAGAAAAGACAGGATAAAGGATATGAAAGGAGAAACGGGCACAGATAGAAAAGATTTTGATTCAGATTCCAATGAAACTAAGTCCTCATGCATTATATCTGCATAATAAAACAAACACGACAACAAACTTAAAAATATAAAAAGTTTGAGCTAAAGAGGTTCTGAATATAGAAACATAGAATATATAAAGAAATAATCTAAATATAAAAATATAAATTGTGCAAATTACTAAATCTGTAAAAACAGATGTAAAACAATACTGTGCAATAGCTTATTGTTAAGGAAGAGGGAGAAAAGTATACAAATCATTTGATATAGGTTTTTAAAACACTTCTTTTTAATACTTCTCTTTAAAGAAGTGAAATCTTTCAACAACAGTCTTTTAATTACATTCACTTCCAACAGTGTGTCAGACTGTCGTCTCCTTTCAGTTTAAAACTAATATTTCTCATTTTTTAATTTCTCACCAAATTCACAATAGTCGTCGTATTGTTTAGGATTTCAATACATTACTTATATTAGTTTTTCATAGTTAAGGATCAGTTATTGTAAAAGTGTAAAATTGCTTGTGTCATTAATGTTGGACTGGATTTTAAGCCATAACGTTTGTAATAAGCCTGCTGATGTGTCAGAAAACTTAATCACTTCCTGTTTCACTCGGCCAACTTAATATATTTTACATAAGAGCTTTTAAAAACCGTTGATGTTGGCATCCTGACCAAAGCTTCAATAAGTGAAATGCATTATGGGAGTTATTATAAGTGGAATAATATACATCATTTAAAAATCAATACTTGTATCTGGAGAAATGACCTCTGTGTGTCTGTTTCTGTCTCAACAGCACACACAGTTTGTCCTAAACTCTGCCCGGGAGAAGAGGGACATGGAGCAAAGACACGCTGCAATTAAGAAAAAGGTCATTTACAAAAATTAACACTTTTACGTACACCGATCAGCCACAACATTGTGACCACTGACAGGGGAAGTGAAAAACACTGATTATCTTGTTAGCATGGCACGTGTCAGTGGGTGGGATATATTAGGTAGCAAGTGAACGTTTTGTCTCAAAGTTGATGTGTTAGAAGCAGGAAAAGCGTAAGGATTTTAGCAACTTAGACAAGGAACCAAATTTTGATGGCTGGACGACTGGGTCAGAGCCTCTTCAAAACGGTCTTCAGTGGTCAGTCCCTGTCAGAAGTGGACCAAGGAAGGTCAGGCCAAGGCTTATCGACCTACATTATGACCAGAAAGTGGTCATACTGTTATGGCTGATTGGTGTATATACATCTCTTAGAAATTCATGTATTAAACCACAATTAAAAAAAAACAAAAAACTACAGGAATATACCCATAAAAAGATAAACAACGCTTCAAACTTTAGCTCTAGCTTTTAAATCTCTACACAGGGATTTCAGTGACACTAAACGACTTCTTAAATATTTTTAGGATGTGTCCTACGACGACTCCATCATGGATTTCAATGCCGACGCAGCTAACGGGATCGCCATGGAAGGATACCTCTACAAGAGAGCCAGCAACGCCTTCAAGACCTGGAGCAGGTACAAGTTTACCCACATCAATGTCTCACACAGAACAGCTGCACTGTTTTTGTGCTTCTCTCCCTCCGTACATCTCACTACAATGACTCAAATGTCCAGAGAGAAATGCTTCTAAAGGCTTAATCCTTGACTTTATGATCTTCTCGTGTTCTTTCTCCACTCCAGGCGTTGGTTTTCAATTCAAAAAAATCAGCTGGTGTATCAGAAGAAATTCAAGGTATATTTTAAATAAGTGTCTCTATTTTTAAAATGTCTCTGTTCTTAAAAGGCTGGAATAGTCATAGAACAAAGAGCTATATGAAACACAAATGTGCATAATAACAAGCACACGGTCTGACCTGCATGTTTTTCCTACATGCGTCTCTCTCAGGACCAGCCTACAGTTGTGGTGGAGGACTTGCGTCTTTGCACAGTCAAGCCCAGTGCAGAAAATGAGAGACGATTCTGCTTTGAAGTGGTCTCCCCGTCAAAGTGAGTGTGTGTGGGCGAACATGTTTGAGCATTCATGCATACGTGTATTTAAGCGATGCTGGTGAATTTTCATCAGTTTTAAGTGCGTGGATTAGAGCGTGAGGGGTCGGGGGTGGTTGTGAGAATTTGTCATGTTCTCATGTACTGAGAAATGAGATGAACACAATGTGTGCATGTGTGTTTGTGTAGGAGCTGTTTGTTGCAGGCAGACTCGGAAAGACAGCAGCAGGAGTGGATTAGCGCCGTCCAAAACAGCATTGCCTCAGCCTTTCAGGAGCACAGAGAAGACCCACACAGCCCAGTGAGAATACACACACACACACACACACACACACACACACACACACACACACACACATTATCTTTTCTTACTATATCTGCATTTTTCAGTGGGAGTTTAATCCGAGGAAACATAAAGGAAGTTGGTGCCTCTCCTCATTCCTGTGTGTGTGTGTGTGTGTGTGTGTGTGTGTGTGTGTGTGTGTGTGATCAGAGACAACGCTGCAGCTCGGTGTCGGTGAGCAGTTTGGGAGGAGGAGGAGGTGGAGGAGGAGGAGGAGGAGGAGGAGGAGTGGATCAGGAAAAAGAGGGCTGCAAGGCGCTGGAGGAGGTTCAGGCGATCCCGGGGAACAAACAGTGCTGTGACTGCGGGGAACCCGGTCCTGATTGGGCCTCCATCAACCTGGGCATCACGCTTTGTATCGTCTGCTCAGGAATACACAGGTACACGCACACCCACACACATACGCACTCACACTTGGCTTGAAACCATAGCTTTAATTGTTTCCTCCTCTAACAGGAGCCTGGGAGTCCATTTCTCCAAAGTACGCTCCCTCACTCTTGACTCTTGGGAGCCAGAGCTCATTAAGGTAATTTAACCTTTTAATTGCAGCAACTACACACCCTCAATATTGCCTTTTCTGTGTTAACAAGAAGTATAATGATTATGAAATGCATTATAATTTAACAATAATAATAATAGCTTTATTTGTATAAATAATATATTATGTTATCATTTAATTTAAATAAACTCTCCATATAGAGCACATGAAATAAATGATCTCTTTGCTTCCTTTAGTTAATGTGTGAATTAGGAAACACAGTAATCAACAGGATTTACGAAGCCCGGATCGACGAGATCACCATCAAAAAGCCCCACCCCTCCAGTCCCAGGTACAAACAATCAACACTAACCAACGTACACACATTAAAGGGGCATTACATGGACAAAGTACAACTCAGCAACTGCTGTGTAATGTCTCATGTGGCTCTGAAGGAGCTTTCTGTAATCACAAAAAATGACCCTGGTCATCAGGGGTATCTTGGCTTATTCTAGGGCATGGAGTTAGAAATGTGGACCTTTTTAAAAGGAAAAGATGCTATTGGTTGCATTGTGGGAATTATATGATCCCAGCATTTTTGGATCTTGACCCATACAATAGAGTAACACCCAGGGTATCTCTGCCTCTGCTGCTTCGAATTTAACTTCAATATTTATTTTCTTATATTTGTTGAAATTCCCTTTACATCCTGGCAGCAATCAATAAATCAAACGCCCTCACACAATTAATAAAATAAATATGGGATTTGTGGCTGTAGCAAGATTGTAATAAGCAGCACGGCCAATAATTTCATTTGGTCGGACCGATAGAAATGAGATAGGCTAAATTCTGCTGAAGGAAAGTTAATCCTGATGTGAAAGAAAAAGACAAAATTAAAAATCCAGAATTAAATGAAATGTGGATTTATAGATGCGTAGAATATCTTTGTGGGTTTTATTTATATAATCATGTATTAATGCATGTATTTATTTATTATTAAACTGATTTTGATTTGCAATTTACTTGTTTGGTCCTCCGTAAACCTGTCGAATGTCCAACCAAACACTCCAAAACTAGAAACACACTCTACATCTCCTCCTGCTGTTATATTGATGGCATTACATGAAGGTTTAATTTTGCCTGTGGACGTTATATTTGTACATTGGTTGAAGACTAACTTTGAGTCGATTGGCTCCAGCTGTCCTACCTTTGAAATGGCTCGTGTGTCTTCTAAAGTTTCTGAAGAAATTTTCCCTCTGCAAAGATCTATGTGGTTAGCAGATGATCATATCAGCGGCCTCTCTTTAGACTTATTTATTGACTTCCTCTTCTCTCCTCTGTGTTGTGTCACAGCAGACAGGAAGTGCCACAGGTACACACAACACAGATGGTTAACGTCGTGACTAATGCGTCCTCCGGAAACTTGCCGTGAGGCTGCATGCTTTCTGCAGCATGAGCTTTCAGTCTTGTCTTGTCAATGCAAAGGTTGCTGATTAACATAGATTTAATTGTTTTTAAGCGGTAGAAAGCTTACATTTGTGCTCTAATTAAATAGTAATGTAAGGATGCACTTAATACACGTCTTTTTAACTGAATTTATGACTCATTAAAAGACTGAGTGCCTCAGGGACATGTGTTATGCGTTGTTGTCTCACAGCTGCACAAGCAACTTGTGAGGTCCAACTGAGATCAAGCAAAGCCAGAAACATACTGACAAATGCATGTCGGCTTCTTTTGTTTTGCACATTGTCTCGTTTTATGAGAGAAGATTGCCGCTCGTGTTCTTTCTCTCTTTCCAATGTGTCTTTTTCTGTCCCTCAGAGGAGACAAGGAGTCGTGGATCCGATCAAAGTATGTTGAAAAGAAGTTCATCCAAAAGCTTCCTGAGACCGGCAGGAACCCCGTACTGAGGCGATCCAGCGGCAGGAGGAACCGAGCGACCACGCAGATCGGACCGCGACCGCCACTCAAACCCAAACCAAACAGAGCCACTCTGCCTCGGGTCACAGGTAAATACAGAGAGACAGGAATCAGGACTGACGTGTGGAAAAAGCAGTGACATTTGAGAGTTCTAATAACTGCAAGCTGGTTGCTTGCTTGTTGTCTAGTTCATCATTCACTTACTCCTGCTGGTGTCAGCACTGAAACACACAATCCTCAAAGTTGGTGATCCAGCACAAGTTGATAATCCTGAGAGCCTAGTCCGCTGTATATTATGTGCTGTTGCGGTCAGCAGGATAAATCAGTAATCGTGGCTCTCCTTCTCTTTCCCTCAGGGCTGAGCCCCAGTGACCTTGTCCAAAAGAACAATACGGGCTTTCACAAAGGTGAGATAAAACACACACACTCTGATGCACCCATCTGACCTGACAACAAAAACAAGCTTGTACAACATGTTTAACATGGACTGTTAAAATAGAGCATTTTGAAAAGTGTCATACTGCGTTAAACCTTTGAAACTGAGCCTCTACATGAGGGAGAAAAAGGGAACAGTAATATGTGCTTAAAAGAAAAAGAAAAGTTAACCCTCTGCTCCTGTCAGATGTGGAAGAGGAAGAAGAGGATCTGAGTGGACTTCACCCTGGGGCGCTGCTGTACCGCTCGGCAGCCCTGCAGAACTTCCCTGTCATGGCCGACGCTTTGGCCCACGGGGCTGACGTCAACTGGGTCAACGTGGCCGAGGAGTCCAGCACGCCGCTGATACAGGCTGTCACAGCAGTAAGCAGAGCATTAAATCCGCTATTAAGTTTAAAAATGGTGGTCCTCATGGTTCGATGGTACCCAGACAATGAATCACAGTGATTTTTTTTTAATGACCTCCTGACCTCTCCTTTAGCACCACAACAGGCCATCATCCACAAGCAAAACGAAAGATCTGACAGCAAATGTACTAAACTCATTAAGAGGCTGAATTGTTTGACTCCCTATGATGAGCTGGAGCATCACCCTCGGGTCATAAAGTTATCTCAATGTTGTACTCAAAATATATAATAAACGCCATAAAATGTGCTTATCACATTAAACCCTCAGGATAAACTTAAAATGTTTAGCCCCTGTGAATGGTAAAGCAAAATACACCGAACTTTGCAGCCTTGAGGGGCCACTAGTGAATTCATGTAGTGTTAACCTGTTTGGACAAGGTGATGTTAGAGAGACGTTAGTAAAAGTTTTATAAATGTCAGCTCATGTGTTTCTGTTTCCTTCCCAGAATGCCCTGGCGGCCTGCGAGTTCCTGCTGCAGAACGGTGCTAACGTCAACCAAGCAGACAGCAACGGGAGAGGACCGCTTCACCACGCCACCATCCTGGGTCACACTGGGTAGGACACACTGCTACACACACACGCACACACACACACACACACACGCACACACACTTGCACACACTTGCACACATACTCAAACATGCTGTCACACATATGTAACAGTCGCATTTCATAGAAAAATCAGCCCACACGCTGACAAAAAATGTAGTAATGAATTTATTCCATGTGCGAATGATGACACAGTGAAAAACTGATGTAACGATAAAATAATACATTACAAAAGACAGACAGTATTACAGGAATACAATTTATTGATGACTCAGAAAAATAATCATTTACTTTATATACACACACTCAAAGAAAATGTGCTTAAGCCTTCAGGCACAGTGCCCAGAACCATTAACAAAGCTAAAGAGATTCACCGTTTGCCCCAGTTGACAGTCCTGTGTTGTGTGTAGTGGGAAATCTCAGTACAAAGGAAGTGATGAATTGAAACAGAATACAAAAGAGTCTCTTAAAGAGCAAGTTGACATGATTTATAGGTATTGAAGTTTAAAGTAGTGCAAAGTTGCCCGCTGTAGCTTCAGAACAACATGTCAACTAAGTCATCTTTGACAAATGAATGTGGTTGTTTATTGTGTGTTATATCTGAGAGGGGGAAATGCAGATAACATGGAGCCCATTTATTTTTAGTCCTACCTGAACCGCTTATCTGAACGTCTGGGCAGAATCCGGCTCTAATCTCTTCTGGCCGGGGTCAAACAGTTTGCAGCATAATTTCATTTTAGTTTCAAATTGAAAAGTGATTTGACAAATTTATCAAAGATCTTGTGTCTGGACTGAGTTCATGAAGGTTTCTTGTTCAGAGTCCCACAGGGACTCAATTCAGGAGCAAAACTAGGAACCCTATGTGCCCACTGCGGAAATCTTTAGATCCTAAATCCTCCACTTTATACCCAGATGAAAGTTCCTGTGGTGGAAACTGGCTACAGAAAGCAGGGGTTACTTGGCTCTCAGGCATTCAGGTTTTGCTTTTAAGACTTGGAAGTCAGCTGTCAATGCGATTCACAAACACCCTCTCACACTCTTTATGTGTCTCTTTGCTTTCCCAGGTTGGTTTGTCTCTTCTTGAAGCGAGGTGCAGACTACAACGCCAGAGACAAGAACCAGAAAGACCCCATTACTATCGCTGTGGACAACGCCAACGCTGACATCGTCACTTTGTGAGTGTTCAAGATGAGGACAAACCTCTTATGTGGCGATGTAAACCACTTAACCACAGCAGCGTTTCTAACCGATCATCTCCATTTCAGGCTGCGGATCGCCAAGATGAATAAGGAGATGCGGGAGATGGACGGAGCCTTCGGACAATCAGGTCACTCGGGGGGGCAGGGATCTGGGGGTTCATTGGGCGGGACTGGAGGTGGGTTAGCCCACACCAGGAAGAGCCTGCAGGCGATAAAGAACCATATTAGTGGCTGGGCTCTTGGGGGGCAGAATGATTAGTGCGGGTAAAAAGCCGGGGACAAGAGAGAGGCGGTGAGACTGGAAGGAACTTGTTTTTTCGTCATAAGCTAGAAGGCAAAAGATAATTCAATTCAGACATGTTTTTGTCAAGTTGTCAAGCATCAGAAATCACTAGTTTTGCAGTGTCATGTGATGTTTATCTGCAGATCCTTCCACACAGCAAACATGCATCATCATTTCTAAGATTAAAAAAAAGTTGCCTTTATTGAGAAACCATAAAATCCAATTCTTGTAAACCGAGAAAGAGCCAGAACACATGGTACGACAGCACAAAGGCAGAGTCTCAAGTCGTCATTGCACTTTGAATTACAAACACACATCATGCTGCACTTTGAAACCCACTAAATCCTCCAACGCCTGAAAGTGCTACATGTGGGTCTTTCCAATGTTTCACTGTTGTAAACTGAAGTTTAAGAAAATGTGCATATATATATATATATATATGCCTATTCTTTCTGATATTGTATATTTGAGATATATTTATACACAGTATGCACAGCATTCTGGCTTTATCAGTTTTTATTGTGTATTGGACTCTTTTTCAGTCCAGTTATATTAAGCTACATTCAATGTTTGGTTCTCTGGCACTATTCTGTGAATAGTGACGCAGTTTATATATTACGTGTTTGTATTTATGAGAATTTTTTTTTTTGAAAGAGCTCCGTGCTGTAGCTCTTCAGCTTAAGGTCAGCAGCGGGGTTTTGTTTGCGTTTTGTCATTCGGCTCCTTTTCAAGCTGCAGAGTCCATTCTTTCATGATTGTCCTTCAGTCGACATCACAACTGTTGTTAAGTGTCTTGTGTACGCTGTTCAGAATTGTTGTTTCACTCATGAAGGAATGGAAGATGTGATTGCTTTTGTCTGCTTGAAAAACAACTGCTGGTCAGTATTTGATATGCTGTGCTTTGTTACTGTGTGTCTCTGTCGTGTGCACTCATGTGCCTTTGCCTTCTGCCCGCTGAGATGTCCAGCTGGTCTCAACTGCTTGTGCAGTGTGCCCCCTACTGCAAACTATGAGGTAAAGTGCATGTGCATGCCCTGATGTGTGTTTATTTGTTTAGTTGCATGCTTCTTGCTTTAGGGCTACACCTCTAAATGCGTTCAGGAAATAGTTGGTGGAGTCACAGCTATTAAGACTGAATACCTCCTCTCCCAAATGATGTAGCTTTTTGATGTTTTGGTTAAAACGCAGCTGTGTCTCATTAAAATAGAGGAGGTGCTCTGAAAGAAAGCCAAGATTTAAAATCCAGAAAAGATGGCATTCGTTTGAAAATGGATTCTTAAGCTTGTAAGAGTTGTAGTACAACTTTTAGGCTCATGTCTTCTTCTTCTCCGATCTTTTCCAGGTGATGAAACCTACCACGACATCTTCAGAGACTTTTCCCACATGGCCTCAAACAACCCAGAGAAGCTCAAACGGCGCAGTGCAGATGCCAAATCTTAACCAGCCCTCTTCACCCCTTGCTGTAAAATGCCACATGTCCCACTTCAGCTGACATATTTTCAAACACACACGCACACATAGAAAACATGCTTGGATCCAACTCACAGGCATGCAGACACACATACATTCATTTCCCCTGGCTACCTGCCACATGTTCAGTTCAGTCATAGCTCAGCTGGTGTTGACTTCAGAGGGGATGAACGCTCCAAACAGTGAATTCTTTGTGTGAACACATCAGACCAGAACAATTGTGTCCAAGTGGGAACACTGGATCAGCTTTATGAGACCAGCATGAGGTGTCTTTATGTGTAGCAGGGGGTAACACCATCACTCTGCCAAGATTTCCTAATTAAATCCTGTTAATCTTTCTTTTAAGCTTGAAGGGCTGATTTTATGTTCTTCTGCCATTTCCACTGAATTGTTACATGAAAAGGAGTGAAAATGTTTATTGTAAGTGAACACAGCTGATGAAGATTTTTACATTTGGGACATTTGTTTTGACACTGTACATGTGTGTTTTGTTAAACTGTGTGAGGTACGTGAGATTTATATGATGATCAAATAAACCGCAATGAGTGTGTTAAAGTTTTAAACAATAAGTACAAGTCCAGGTTCATCTTTTTAATGATAGCATGTGTTTTGTTGTCAAGGCTACAAATCCCCAGCAGAGGGCGCCATCATCTTGTGATGTTCGCAAAAAGTTTCTGGTCATCGGTGATATCAGCACGGATAACGGTGCCTAATCTGTTACAGGCAGACACACAAAAAAACCCCAAAAGTAAATAATATAAAATGCTTTTTAATCAAGGAGGAGTATATCAAAATATCAATAGTGTCAGGTCGCAGCCTGGATGTTTGCATATTGGGTTTAAGACTAGGGTGTTAAAGCTTTGAATCACAGACGGCAAGGAAAATCTAGTTAAGAAAAACTTTTTCAACAATTTTGCGAGCTCTGCTATTCAGTAGCTGCCAGTAACCACCACAGTGATCGTGTTGACTCCGTCCTACAAACCTGGTGTTCAATCAGCCAAACAACTGATTTACAGATTTGTTTATGGTTTACAAAAGTACAAAGTGCTCATGCGAGCTAATGCTTGTATGAACAGGAAAGGCAAGTAAGAAATAACAGTATTCCTGTCCAGCAACATAGTGATCTGATGGAAAGTGACCGTCCTGAGGCTGAAGGAGAGGTGCAGAAAGCAGTGCTGGTGTCTGCCGCTACATTAGTGTTGATGATGAATCAGTGTAAACAGCTAGCAGCACAGAGGGATGCTGCTAATCATTAAGACATTTAGTTTTTAGTTTGGAATATCTGCCAATAAAGCACTGCTGAGGTACATATGACAAGTTCTGCTTCATTACCTGAGTGAGGCTCTTATCTTGTAAAGGGGCCCTAAAAAAATCTAGGTATTGTTAAGTTGGTATTGTCCTTACATGGTGTACAAAATAAATATTCTATTTCATTTTAATTACCATACAGTACTGGACATACCACAGCAGGCAGTTTTGCTTGTTTGCTAGGTCTCTGTGTAAAAAACAAAAGTTGTCATCTGTAGCTGTAGTACCTACCTTTTTGGAGATGATGGTGCAAATAGCACACAATGCACTAACAGCAGCAGATATGGGGCCAATAGTAAAATAAAAGTCAAGGATTAAACAAGTATGTGCAAAATTTATATGCTGGTGATTCTTACATCTCCACAATCAGATTCACACTTAAAATTCACATAAACAACCAAGACAATATAAGACTTTCCCACAGAAACTTGATGACAATAATAACAATAAAAACAAAAAAAAATCTTTTCCTTCACATTTCCTATATTGTGCATGTAAAGCAACCATACATCTGAGTTTCCTTTTAGGCAGAAGGAACTGGCCTAGATATTAAACTGAGGTTACGATGGCCGAGTTGTCACAGTAAGCTTATATCTTCACTTTGGGTCTGAGTCTCTGAGGTATATATAGCACACACATGACGAGAATTAACAAGGCTGTCGGACCCTTCATTTCCACAGTCTTGCGGAATATTGAGCCTGGTTATTTCACCAGATCAGATCATTCAGCTCCTCTATGGTTCTTGTCAGAAGGTAAACTATTAATTTGTTCCAACTCTGAATGCAAACCCTTATTTTTGTCATCAAGAGAGCATCTTTGAGGAGACGGTGGGTCTGTGCAGGAGAAGAAGTGAGGCAGAGTGGCCATGGTCAAAGTACAGAGAATGACGAAACTGCCTGCCACCATGAAGGAAGCCGTGTAGTTTCCTGTGACGTCCTTTAGAAACCCTTGGGACATGGAAGACAGGAGAAAAGAGAAGAATATTCATACTAAAACACAGAAGACATGAACAAAAGAGCAATAAGATGTAGCATGAGATGTGTAAGTAATCCCCAAATTGAGAGTGAGATAATCAAAGAACAAGTGTGCAAACAATACTGACAAGAAACTGTGATGTTCGTTATGCTAAGGGAGAAACACATGTTGCAATGTACAGTATAGGCTACTAAAGGCCTGATTACATAATGGTGGTTTTACTCTGAAGTGATGATGTTGCAGAATCATGCGTTTATGCAATTAAAACATCCAAACAGAGAAGCTTCTAAGGTTTTATCACCGTGGCTGCTGATTGATACGACTAAGCTAGGAGTTTTTAAAGGGTCAGTTTAACTAAATTAAAAAGAAGAAGAAAAAGAACCTCTAGTGAGAAATATGTTTCTGGGTTGTTGACATGACCGAGAGAGAAAAATGTGCAGAGGAACTGAAAATAACTTTTTCACAGGCCACATGTTCAAACACAGGTGTAATTAACACTATTAACTGTTCTGGAGCAGAGCCATCCTTAATGTTATCAGTGTCGACATGTCTCCTGTGGCAAAGTCTGTGAATATTTGATTTATTTGGTAACTTAAAAGAAACAGGAGTGCTCTGATGCTAGCGAGGTTAGCGAGATTTATGATCTTTATGATCTATGTCACGAAAATGACATGTAAAGCACAAGATCGACTTTTCATGAGGTAGAAAAAGAAAAACTGCTGATGGTTAAGCAAACACATCAGTCATTTGCAAAACTGTTAAAGAACTGCTAGTCTTTATAAACCACAGACTCTCTGTCCAACATCTAATGTGAGACTGTATTACATTTACATTACAAATTACAAATAAATCTTTTGTAATTTGGGATTTCAGACCCTGTAAGGAATTCTGCTTTAACTATGTTGGCTATAATTTTTAGCTGTGTGGTAAGGTTGGCTGACCCGATTACTCAAACTAATGTTTGACTACGTTTAGCTTCAGTGTGTCAACTCGTTTGTTTATGGACTTATTTAGGTCACAGATAACAGGGAACAAAGTGCAAGAACTATATTCGGAGAAGAAACTGCAAACTTTGTACTATTTTCTGTGCACTGTTTTATAAATCCCGTCTTAACTTGTTGTACTGGATGCACAACCTCATTAACCCCTGTCAAACACTTCGATCCCTCTAGCAAAATTCCAGTCTGCTCGTACCTGACAGAGGAGTCCCAAGCAGTCCCGCGCCGCTCTCAATGAGCTGCAGCAGCCCGAGGGCCCCCATCACTCGCTCCACACCCACAATCATGGGCACCACCGCAAAGACCAGAGAGGTCAGCGCCCCGGAGCAGAAGCCATAAAGGAGGCTGATCACAATCAATGCAGAGTAGGAGCCGGACAAGGAACTCACAGGCAGCAGCATGATGAACGCCCCTGCCAGTGTTATCCACACGCTCAGTAAATGAATCGTCCGAAAGTGACCCAGGTCTGAGAACCAGCCTGACGCTACGCGGCCAAAAATGTCTGATACACCGGCGGCTGACATGACAAAAGCAGCTTGGTACTCCGAGAAGCCAGCTTGGCGGCTGTGGGCCACCAGGTGGAAATATGGCACGAAGTAGCCGACGTTAAGAAGAGTGATGGCCACGGTGTAGGTCATGTAAGGCCGTTCGAAGAGCAGTGACAGTTCCAGGTGGGAAGAGATGCGGTGCAGCAGTCCAGCACGTGATGACCTGCTCTCTGAATCCACCTGAGCGGAGGAGAAGAAGGAGATCCTGAGCTTCAGCTGAAGTTAACATACATTACCTTCTATATAGTATGTTAATGTAAAGTCATATTTTTTTACCAAACACGAGAATAATATCATGTCTGAAAGTAGAAAGACAGTCAGAGCATGAATAACTTAATGACAGGCGGTTTTATGTGAGGTATTTGAATCTAGCAGGCCTTTTTTAAAAAGGGATATGATTCTTTATGGACCTTTTTTTAAAGTTTCAGAGGAACTATTTCTTGGTTTCACACACCACATGGCTATAGTAATGTGACTGTGGGATTTTTAGGTTTTGGTTTGTGTCAGCAATGAGCAGCACTTGGTTAGTTAAATTCTCTGTGGGAAATGGTGCAGCTTCCCTTCATACAGAACAACATATTATTTCAGGAATGATACTGTGGTCATCAAATTCTTGCTAAAACATTTTTTAGTGTGAAAGATGTATTATCATCAGCTCGTCTCAGCTCGTCCCACCTTTGCTGGTGCTTTAGAGCGTCGCCGTGGACAGATGAGAGCCCCGCAGGGCACAATGTTGAGGCTGAGGCCCCCCAGAATCAGAAGGGCCCCTCGCCACGTGTACATCTCCACCAGCAGCTGGAAGAGCGGGTTGAAAGCAAAGGAGGAGAGGCCGATGCTGGAGAACGCCAGTCCCAATGCCAGGGTGCGCCGGCGAGTGAAGTTAGCCAAGACTGTAGCTACCATGGGAGTGAATACCAGCCCCCAGCCCAAACCTGGAGGAGAGGGGAGGGAAGCTGTGAGAGGCCCCTTTATTCACCTGCAATAAACTACGGTAACAGTAATATACGTAGGGGAGACCGGGGTGATTTGAGCCTGTGGGGAAGTTGAGCCACCCCTTGTTTCTCGGCAGCCACAGACAAAATTGGTCACGTGAATACACATTTTTGAAGAGTCCTCCATTTTACTCACCCTGTGGTGGAGGGAGGTCCATAGAATAAGTGATGAGCATTTAAGATCAGAAAACTTTTTTTTGCCGTTCAAAGTGATTTTCTTACGTTCTAGGAGTCCTGATTCTTGTGTCTGAACAATTGCAGACATATGAGAAAATCTTACTCATGTGTTAGTGCTTTAGGAAGTTACAGTATGAGGCTATACTGTCAGCATGACGTTACCCTTAAACTGCGGGATGACTGAATTTTATTAAAATGGCAGGATGGGGTAATTTGAGCCAAAAGACCCGGGGGAAGTTGAGCCAGATATTTTGCTATAATTTTACATTGCATTCTTACGCATCACCGAAATGATGTGACATTGTGCATTTTAGACCAGAAACCATCATGTCATGCTTCTATAAATGGAAGACAGTTTGGACAGATCAGTGGTAGAGGTACAAAACTGGGAAGTTGATATATCAGGTGGCACGGGACGTGACGATAAACAGGATGACTTTAAAGCGATACATCAATATGAAACAACTAGGAGACAAAGCTGCAATGTTTCACTATCAAAGTGCAATTAAATGTTGGGATCTGGCGTTTGAGTTTGCACGATGAAATGACACTGATGTCCCGACCCCCATGTGGCTCAACTCATCCCCTCATATGGGGCAAGTTGAGCCACTTTTTATTGGAAAGCCATATTTTGAAAACAGATTACTTTACATCTAAATTGATTATTCCCAGGGATGCACCACATCCTAAAATATATCGACATGTTTTAGTTGGAGACATTACTGTCGTGTCCTCACTTTAAAGACACATCAAGTAAAAACTGGCTCAACTTACCCCGCTCTCCCCTAAACAAAGATGCCCTGCTTTGCAAAGCATCTAAAAGTAGAGAGGTGATGTGTTCTACCTGTTACCTGAAATAACTCCCATAGTGAGGTAGAGGTGAACAAGACAGGTAGCCTGAGAGGCAAGTATGAGGCCGAGTCCAGCGAGACAGCCTCCTGTCATCACCACCAACCGGGCATCGTATGCATTACATAGTGCTGCACCTAGCGGACCTGCAAAACAAACAAACACACACACACACACACACACACACACACACACACACACACACACACAAAGACACTGCAGTCAACCTGCCAACTACAGTGTGCTGTGAAAACACCTTTGTTTTTTTATCTTATGCTTTATTCTTTTTACTCAAACCAGAAAGGAACATGCTATCACCACAAAATCTCCATTTTAAACCCATAATGTACATGTACGTACAATTTTGTTTCCCCAGAAGTATCATTCAGGTTGCTAAACACATCTTATTCTACACATATAGATTATGTGTCATATAGATTCTGCATCAGCGTATTCCAGCACCTCATTGAAGCTATATAATGCTTTTTACTGGCTGCACAATTTCATCAAATTTAATTTTCTAGATGTCAACACCTTTCCCCCAAACTAAACTAACTAAAGTTTTAAATAATGTTCTGTGGACTTCAACAATGTTTGTCTGCACAGCATGAGTTTGTAATGAGTGACCCCGCCGCTGCTAGTTAAAGGGTTAATGAGTTGCAGCCCCCCTTTTTCAAAAACAACCTATAAAATGGCTCATAAATTAAAAGTCCTTGCATAAAATGTCTGTTTCTCTTTGGTAAAGATTTAATAAGAGGAGTAATACATGATTGTGTCTGTTTTATGTCAACAGATTAATCAATGATAAAAATTAGTTGAAGCCATAATAACAAACAGCCCCGTCCGCCTTTAACACAGTGACTCACTGAAGAACTGCTGTGCTGCCAGGCCTGTGGACGAGATCCAGGAGATGGCGTGAGCGCTCTCATCAAAGTACCGGACAAACTCTACAAAGAAGATCCCGAAGCTACGCATCAGGCCGAAGACGAGGCTCGTGCTGACGAACAGGGCTCCGACCAGCACCCAGCCCCAGCCTCCATCCGGACCCTCGGCTTCATCACTCTGGCTTTCTGCTTTGGCCTTGAGGCCGGTCATGTCTAACAGAGATTTATCTGCGAAAATACAATGAATGCAGGTCAGCGTGAAAGCAGAGTGAGGAGGGCAGATTAGAAGAGAAAGGAATTGATAGCACTTTCTTTTAGCGACAGTGCACAGCAGGTCTCAGAGACCGTCTGTGGGTGTTAATAGCTGTAATGATTAACTTCCCACTGGCCAATAGATTACCTGGATGTGCCAGGTAAGTTTGACTAGGCAGCTTAACAAGTTGGCCATCGATTGAGAACAAGATGTAGGTGAGAGGTGAACTCTGACAATGGCTGCCGACAAGTGTTCATAGATCAGCTATGAATAAATAAATGCATGTTCAATAGCAGAAGACAACAACGCCTTTTCTTTTTCTGCTACAGTGGATAGACACAGTCTGCAGAGGTGACAGAAAATAAAAAAGGTTTTTTTTAGTGATGAGTGAAACTTTGAGGAAAACACATTTTTATCTCTTCACCACAGCAGCACTATGATCACGATCACATTAGTACTATTTTTAAGGGGATAAGTACGAAGTAAGTAAGCTGATCATATGATGCATCTTCTTTCACCACACAAAGAAATGTTTGCTGCAGCAGGAACCACAAACAGCTGAAAGTAGGCTACTGAATTTCCTCTTCTGACAAAGTCTTCAGCTTCCGTGCCAACATGCTGCCATTATGGACTTTGTGTGATCTGCTATTACCAGAATATCTGGAAGAGTTTCCCTCTTAGGATTTCCTAACAACTGTGCCTCCTCTTTGATGTGAGTGATCCTCCTGCTTTCTACATACACATACTTTGTTTTATTTGTCCTGCAGCTGCTCTCTGTTAAGCTTTACTGCAAAATATATATATAAAATAAAAAATATAGCCTACTATTATTTGTGTGGCCAGTTCTTATGTCATATTACTATACTGTAGTATATAAAAGCAGACAATAATTCTGAATAATTGTGCTGCTGGTTGAGCAGTATTTTGCTCAATTTGTGAGTTGAGCTGAAAATAAGGCAAAAAGCAACAAGCAGTACAGCACTGATCCGTTCATAACCTCGTGCCACTCACTTCACTGCTGCAGGAATTACAGGAATTTGCTCACAGCTCTGTCTCAAACACACAAGCACTGAAAGAAAAATGAAAACTTGCAGAAACAAACAATGGCTCAAAAACCTGATTTCATATTGGCGCGAAGACATTATGTGTGTCTCTGTTCTGCGTTTCCATATAGGACGGACATTAAAAACCATCAGCTTGCGTTTCAGTCCATAGCCTATGTATTAGATAAATGATCGTTTGCAATAAAGCCAAATCATTAACATGTATTGATTGTATGGTCCTACCTTATGGGCATCAGGGTCTAACGTTTTACACACGCACCCGTAGACACGTGCTGGTCCTCAGCTTCACTCCTTCACTCATTATTACATACACACAGCAATGAACTGGTAGGTAAGAACGACATGAACGCGCACTTCATCAGTGCACGCGGGCTCTCCAATCATAAATCCAGGCTTCACATGCGCGTGCGCACTGCTTGTCATGTTCTTGATGTTATAGTGAACATTTCTGCGGGGTTTGTTTTGTTTTTCCAGCTGTTGCTTGCTAGGTCTTTGCTGTAGCGGTAGTAGTGAGGTTATGATAATGTTTATTGTAAAAATGAACCGTTTCATAACCCGTGACTGACTGAAATCGTTCAGCCTGAGAGACTCGCGTTGGAACAACAATGTCGCGGTTCACAGCACGAAAAGCTTCAGTTCGACTCGACACCACTCACCCTCGCGCTGTCAGCTTTCCCCGGAGCAGCACATGGTCCACAGTGTCCAGGTTCACTGTGGTAAACAGCAGACTGACAGCGAGACACGCCACCGGCTGGATCCAGTTCTCCACACTTCGAGTCCGTGAGGGCTTCTGGGCTGTCCCACTGTCAAATAGTCAAGCGCAGACTTTGCCGGAGGGAATAACCCGCAGTCCACAACGCTGTGACTCTTTAAAAATGTAATACGTACGTAACATGACTTGGCGTCAAGGTAACAATATGTCGCAAAGTGCTGTCCCTAAAACCATTTCGGGCCCTTGCAGCTCTTTTGTTATTTATCATCTTTATTTGAAAAAGAGAGCTGCAATTTACAAGTATAACACAAGTATAAAGATATACATAACAGTATACAAATATATATAAAACTCAAATAAAATTATATAAAGTTTTGCCAGGGGTAGAGGACCATATCTTTTACAATTTTAACTGCCTTTTTGTTGTTGGAACCAGAAATCAAATTGACATAATGCACAACCTCATGGAGCAAAAAAGTTAGGTTTTTTACTGCTGAATTACATTTATGAATGTGTAATTCTGCCATCAGAATTAATACATTTATTGTGAAGTACTTACACTTCTTTACTTTGACTTCCATAAAAGCAAAATACCACATTCTTGCAAATTAAAGCAAAATCTTTATAAATATGGTCAATGATGAATCTGCTGAAGTTTGGCCAAAATGTTCTGGTGTGTAAGCAATACCAAAAGAGTTACAAAACAGTTTCTTGGTGGTCTTCACAGAGAGAACAGTTTGTATTGATGTTATTTTAAATTTATGTAATGATTAGCAGGGTAATATCTATGAATTATTCTGAACGACACTTCCTTCACCTTGTTTACTATCAGGTATCTGTGAGGAACATTTTTCCAGCCAATGTCGTTTACAGACGGTTCCAATAAAACATAACATGTGGAATAAATACAATTTCTTTCTGAAACAAGGCACAAACGCTCTTATTATTTTGAGGAAGTTGAGAAAAAAAGATTTTTACCAACTAGTGATTCAGCTACACAGGGAAGGGAGACAGAAGTAGGTGGAGGTCTCTAAAAGGCATTATTGTGCCCGAAGGAATGGCGTCAAATACAACTACAAATTATTTTGGCGTAACTGGTAAATTATATGTTAATAAAAACTCTCTACCCTATACGCAGGATAAGTGGTTGACGATGGATGGATGGATGGATGGAAAAACTCCATCTCCTTTAAATAGCTGGTTCACTAGCAGAATCTGATTCTGTACCAATTATTAAAATAATTGATTTGTTTTTATATAAAATATCTCTATTATTCCAAATTAGATACCTGTGAGGTGAGAATTGTGTTTATAAATGAGAGACCATGCAGGACCTGCTTGGATGTGCATGTGGATAGTTTTACAGGGAATCTGTCCACATTGTAATTACAGTTCAAAATAAAGTTCAGACCGACAAAGAGAGAGAAAATATTGTGGGGAATAAAATTCCAAATTGAGACAAGGTTTTTAAGAAAATGCTTAGCCCAATTAATTAGTAGTATTGTTTAGTGTAATGAAGTCCAAAAGGGTTGAGCCCACCAGATTCATAATTATTCATAACCACACTTTTTTTATATATAATGTGCACGATTTTTCCAGATGAGCTGCGTATATAAGCCGATATCCCGTCACACTCGGTAAGTGAAGAAAGAAAAATTTAAAGGACATCTTGCTTTCTGATCTTTAGAGATAAGAAGTGGTTAGAATCAGAATCAGAAATACTTTATTGATCCAGAGAGGAAATTCTTTAATTCTTTAATTACATGAATGGTGACAGATATCTAAAATTGTGGTATCGTCAGAGTTAGTTGCACTGACAGAAGCATGTAAATAGGCAAAAGACAAAACTGTAAACATTTTTACAGACAGCCGTTATTCTTGGGGTGTTACTCATGATTTTGGGAGATTGTGGGCAAACAGACAGTTTTTAACATCTACAGGCAAACCTATCGCTCGTCACAAACTGGTTGCTGAATTTCTTTATGCTGTACTGTTGCCTGAAATGATTGCTGGGTGTAAATGTGACGCCCACACAATCTTGATCCTATCTCACAGGGGAATGCCAGAGCTGACCTGCAGCAAAGTAGACATTAATATCTCAATATACTGTTTTAACTGACCCACCACGGACTACACAGCTGTTTTGCAGCAATTACAGGCGAGAGGGAGTCCAGAGGAGAGAGCTGTTTGGAAAAAAGCAGGCTGCACTCTTTATGACAAAGCGTGGTATCTGGTATGGCCAAGATGAGAAGCCACCTCCAGATGAACCATTTGATCACTTGCAAATGGATTTCATTGAACTAACACCATTTGGAGGACTAAAATTTTGTCTTGTCATGGTAGATGTGTTTTCTAAATGGGTAGAGGCATTTCTAACATCTAAACAGGACACAGCAGCAGTTGCAAAAGCTTTGATAAGCCAGATCATTCCTCACTGGGGAATCCCAGCTAAGATCTCCAGTGATAACTACACACCTTTCATTAGCGCAGCATTGAAAAGTGTAGGGGAGTATATGGGGATTGATCTGAAGCAACATTGTGCTTATCATCCACCTAGCGGAGGTGCAGTGGAAAGAGAGAATGGCACATTGAAAAACAAACTTGTTAAATGTTTTGAAGTAACAGGTTTAACATGGACAAAGGCTTTGCCACTCCTTTTAATGCACATGAGAAGCAGGGTGAGGGGCAGAGGGGGTCTCACTTCTTTTGAAATCCTATTTGGCACTGAACACTGGAATTCGGCCAGTGAAAAGACACCTCCGTGACACTATGTGAGGATGAAATGTTGAGATATTGTGCGAACTTGTCCTCTGTACTTTCTGAAATCCACATACAGGTCAAACAGGCCATCCCAAAGGCCACAGAGGAAAAACCTGCCTGATTTGGAGCTGGGGGACTGGATCGTGGTGAAGGATTTCAGAAGAAAGAATTGGCGATCTCGCAGGTGGAATGGCTCGCATCAGATACTGCTCGCAGCAGAAACAGCAGTAAAGATGGCAGAAAGAGCAACTGGGATTCATGCCGCCCACTGCACACGAGTGCTGAAGCAACCAAAAGGCCTCAAACAAGGTGAAGATCAAGATCAGTGAGTGGGCTGAGCTTTCCCCTGTCTTGTGTTCCTAGGGAGCGAGGGGAGTGGAGGTCTCTGAGACCACCTAGAACCACTAATCTAAGGGGGCACACTGATTACGTGGGTAGGCAAGGTGACACAACTGATTAGATATGACACCAACAACCAAACAGATGGTGCTGGAGGGGCAACAGACTGAGAGAACAAGGAGGCATGGTTCTGCTCGCGCTCACCATTGTCCTGTCATCATTGCCAAACTTGGAGACAGTAGACTAGGCCTGACTGAAGAAAAGAAGAAGGCCAAAGAGGAGGAGACGCACAACCTCCCTGGATGTAAGACAATGCATGGTATGCAACCATGAGGATAGATGAACTGACTATTGAATTGAAAAAACTGACAGTCCTAGTGGAAGTGGGTTTTTCCACCTTATTCATATATGTTGGAGTTAATTTTGATATTAAAGGGTCATATTCTTCACATTTGAATTATTATAACCCACTTTGATTCTTACCTGTTGAGTACCTATTGTCTATTCCTTGTAGTCTTATTGTCTTGTCCATTTTCCATTAAAAAACTTTTCCAGGTTATAGGGCTCTATCTGACTCACATGTTTAAATGATCAAAAATAAGGCTTGAGTCGTTCGTTTCCTCTTTTCTCATTCATTTAAAACAAAATTAACAACAAAAATACTGTCAAACTAAACATGAGGTCAATGACTGTGTTGGTCCTCTCTCGTTAGTGTCTGCCTGTAGGTTTAGACAAAAGGACCTTTTCAGACACACCTCTTCCTCTTTCCACAGCTGACCAAATCCAAGTTAATCAGTAAGGTTAAACAGAACAGCTAAATTAATAAACAATTAATTAATCTAAATGACTATTCTCAAAATAAATCATCCAAATTATAAAATAATTAAACAAAAAATTGGCTCTAACATTCCAGCCCCTAATTCCTTTAATCTTAAATGTAGCAATTACAAACAACTCAAAGGCTATTTTAAATTCATATATCATTTTTCATACTAACAGAAATTACAATTTTTGTTCTATTCTTCAGACTCCAGGCGTAGACAAAGTTTGTTGATAGGTCACTGTAGAATATTGGTTTTGGTTTTAACCAAGACACTGCGAACCAGTCCTTTGCTTCCTGGCAAAGTCTGTAAAATCCGTCCTAAGACCCAGGAGTTTCTTGGAGCAGAGTCAACTACAATCATGACAAGGTCTCTGGTTCCTTTTGAGATTATTCCATTTGCTCCTTTTTTGCATGATTGGAAGATATTCTCTGACCCATCTCGTCCAAAAGAGGTCTGCCAGATATCGCACCTGTCTCCATCTTCTCCTGGAGTACAGGTCATCTTTTTGAACGGTCCAGGAGGCATGACAGGATTTGTTTTAAGAAGAAGCAGATGATTGGGTGTTAAAGGTTCCACATTGTTCAAGTCATTTGTTACAGATGTGATGGGGTCTATCATTCATGATTGCTTCCACTTCACATAAGGCTGTTTGCAAAGCCTCATCGTCCAGGATTTGTTCTCTTAGCACAGAACAGAGGATCTTTTTGTCTTTTTGAGTGACATGATAAGTCTCTCCCATACACCACCGTGATGAGCACCTGATGCTGGGCTGAAAATCCACTTTATCCCATTTTGTAGAAGGTTTCTTTGAATTTTGTCATGACTTAGTTGCTTCCATGATTGTTCAAGCTCCCTTTGTGCACCAATGAAGTTTGTACCTTGATCTGATCTGATCATTTTTACAGTACCTCCATGGCAAAGGAATGTGCGCATTGCGTTGATGCAGGAGTTAGTGTCCAAGCTGCTGGCTACTTCAAGATGAACTGCATGGCTCACTTCAGGATCAGCTAAAGGGAGATAACTGTGTGATGTTTCATCTGGATTTTGAGGCCATTGAGATTTCTGGTCCTTGTAACCATCTTTTTGACTTTGGGAGGGATTCAATGTTTAATCCTCGTGAAGCATCATCTGCAGGATTTTGTTGAGTCCACATACTTCCATTGATCCTCCTTTGACAAGTCATGTATTACTGCCAGTCTATTAGAAACAAAGGTGTGACATCTCTTGTTATGATTGTAGATTAAATACAGACTGACTGTCTGTCCAGTAAATAGACATTTCATGGTTTAGCTGCAGATCTGAGTGTAGCATTTGATCTACTCGTACAGCTAAAGTGACTGCTGTAAACTCAAGTCTGGGGATGGTCATTCTTTTTAGGGGACTTACTCTAGATTTTCCAGTGACTAAAGCAACATGGACTTCCCCGGTTGTTGATTAATCTAATGTAACTTTCTGTGCCGTAACCTTGCTCACTGGCATCACGGAAGTGATGCAACTGTGCTGTCTTTACCTGGCCA